GGAAGGTGGCAATAGCTGCACAGCCGTGCTGAACAGGTGGCAGTGAAGTCCAAAACGCAGGGAATGAGAGCTGGATGGAACAGGATGAGACGACGTGGGACAGAACGAGACAGAAAAGGAATGAAAGGAAATTAAAAATGCCAAAATGACAACAAACAACTGAAGCGGCGACTCAAACACGAAACAATAATGGATGAAGACGGATAGCGGAGAACTCGGAACCTTACACACAATTGCTACATTCTGAAACAAACTCAATTTCCTTTAACTCAGCAGTTATGTCCACCACTGCCCCCCAGGCCCCAATTGATTCGGTCACCTCCACCCGCCAGTCACGTCCACCCATGTGGCAGCCGTCAATGCAAGGCCATGCAGGCCGTCAGGGATCCATAGCGCGGCTCCGGCGGTCCCCGGCCGGCCCTCATAGGCCGGACATTTCCGGCGTCATTCCGGGGAGTCGCCGCTCGCGTGACCGTGGTCCGGAGGCGGGGAGACCGACCGGCACGGCCCGCGACCTTTCTACTGCACCGGAAACACGCCTCGGGGAAAATCGGACCCCTGCGAGCACGGCGACCGAACACGGCGAAACGCCGCGCAGATAGCAGGAACAATGAAACCAGTGCCGATCAAGTCTGACCTCACAGAATGCCTGCATCAAAGGTAGTCTAGCCTTAGAGGTTTTGTTTCGTTTGCTCGAGTAGGTGCTTAGCAGGTGACATCGGATCTTGTGATTCGTATCACCATCATGATTCCGGAGAAACAGGAGCTTATCAGTAGTTTTGTGGCCGTTGAACTATTTTCCTGTGTGCCTCACTACGGTATAAACTGAAGCGATACGAACGCCGAACAGAATACAGGGTAACTCACAGAACGGCAATTACTTCCTGAAACTCAGCACTAGCATGAGATTGCCTCCATTATTGCAACGAAGGCTTCGATGGAGTATTCTGCGTAATGCAGTGGGGGTTTGATTCTGGCTAGACGGCGCAAGCGGCTTCGGATTAATTTGTTAATTATTCTAATTAAAACGATCACCGTTTCGCCGGCATTTGCTCACGATAATCAAGAAAGAAATAATAACCTGCATTTGGTTCACTTAGCTCACATCCTCCGGAGCCTCGCGGTCTGACTGTCTGCCCAATGTCCCGCCGGCTGACCCATGCTGGGTCACTCTGGCCCCCGGCACGGCCGCCGCCGCCGCCGGGCCAATCGATGCCAGGTCGATAGCGGTGGTGGCGGGCGGGTCGGTCGGCCTGCCGGGGGGCGGTGACTGGGCCATCGACCGCCCCCTGCGGTACACACACCCCACCAGTGGCCGTACGGTAACTAACGGCCGGCGCGGCCGACACATGGCTGTTCAAACACAGCCCGGCCCGCGCCGCGCCGGCGGGCACCGGTCAGCGGGGAGGGCTGGTGGCTGCCAGCGGTGATATGAGGGATGGGGTGAGAGAGAAGAGAGAGAGAGAGAAGAGAGAGAGAGAGAGAGAGAGAGAGAGAGAGAGAGAGAGAGAGAGAGAGAGAGAGAGAGAGAGAGAGAGAGAGAGAGAGAGAGAGAGAGAGAGAGAGAGAGAGAGAGAGAGAGAGAGAGAGAGAGAGAGAGAGAGAGAGAGAGAGAGAGAGAGAGAGAGAGAGCAGGGGCGGAGAATTGTCATAATCCCAGGGGGTGCTTTTCTAGCACCTGTCGAATGGAAGCGTCGAATTCTTGCATAGAAAAGCACATATAGGTATGTTTTCCCAGCAACATCACTCTCCTATTGCCTTACGCAAAGTACTTTGCGTCTCAGACGTAATTTAAGCACCTCTGAAGCACTATTATATGGTGACTTTTGAATTTCAGGGGGTGCTCGAGCACCCCCAAAACCCCTAATTCTCCACCCCTGAGAGAGAGGGAAAGGAGGTGGCGTGGCGTGCTGATGAGTTTGGGCGGGCATGGTCTGGTCAGCATATAAGTCACCTTTGGCGAGGAGAAGGCGTGACGCGGCGGAGAAAGACCGAATAGCCGACATGTTAGACATGGGTGAAACGTGACATGGAGATGGAGAAGAGGAATACAGATTACCCAACGCCACATAACCGGATAAAAAAAATAATACAATAATAACATGACACGCTACATGAGCTGAAACGTCCACCTACAAAACATATTTAGTTAGCTTCATTGCAGCCATAACATTTGATATCGGTTTTCCGTCGATTCGATAACTGCAATTCAATAGCCCTTTTAGACATTTCAGTGTCTCCCCCGGCCCGCTGGCTTCCCGCGGCGCCCCGCGGTGTGTCCGGTGTCCCCTGGCGACCCCCGCGGTGGCAGTGACACTCCCTGACGGCCCCCCGGGGTGACCTGTCCCGTCCCTGACGGACCCCCGCCGCGGCCTGTCGTGGCACACGGACCGGCCACGGACCCTCGGTGTCCTCAGACAGTCGACGTCAGTCGGCGGACCACTACAGTCCGTATTTACGCAGCTGTCGAGGTCGTGTAGCTCTCAGAGCACTGCTGGCCAATTACTGAGATGAGTGACACTTAATGAAATGTCGAGGTGCCGATAGCCGAGCAAAGCCCTGAGGCTGGAAGCAGCTCGGAAAGGTCACCAGCTAGCGTTCGCAGCTGCTAGCGTTCACAGCTGCTAGCATTCGCAGCTGCTAGCTTTACAACTGCAGCTGCTAGTGTTAGCAGCTACCAATGTTCGCAGCTGCTGGCGGTGACTAGTGTTCGCAGCTGCTCACCAATGACAGGTGTTGACCACTGAGGAATGTTCACCGCTGAGCATGTGTGCACTGCTGACAGCTGTTCACACAGAACAGTGCACCCGCCGTGGACACACGGCTGAATGACGGACTAACGAGAAAACAGCGCCGGTAATCAATGCGGTATTCGGTGCGTAACGTGGCACGGTGACGGGACATAAGTGAGGACGGGTCCGAACTGAGGACGGTAAAAACCGCGGGAGGAAGATAATTCTAATAGTTTTGATGCTACAATCACTACCTCATTACTGGAAGCACGTCCCAAATGTAAATGAACGTTCATAAACAAGGTAAGGACCATCGTCGGACGGTGGTTCGTCCGCCCTCCACGGCCCACCAATGAACTGCGGGGAATTCGACGTTACCTACATGTGTTTGAGAAAAAAATCGCATTTTTCCGCCAGGTATACTAAATTAATGAAATGTTCAAAGGGTAAATAAACAAAAGGGTGAAGAACAATGCGCCAAAAATACCTATTGAAACATCAAATATGGAGCTCGACATTTAATATCACTCATCGGATGCTTGTCTTGACAAGCATGTTTGGCTTTTGCCTTAAAGGCATCATTTTGGCCCGTTTCTTTGCATTTGCCCCAGAACTCAGCTGTATTCCATAATGGGCTGGACTTTTCTCTAATCACGAACACAATTAGGGCCCTTGGGCCGCTCGAATTCTCCTTAATCTCGGCTCGGTCCGCCCACCCGCGCGGCTAAATTAAGAGGAGCGGCATCCTCTGCGGCGGCGCTGCCATCTCAGTCGGTGCCCATCCACTCCTGCGGGGCACGCGCTGACTGAGAGAGTCCGCCGTCCGGCCAGAACTTGGCCGCCACTCGCTGACCAGAGAAAAGTCGCCGACCCAATATAGCTTATGGCCAATGTGCGCGACTTACGGGCGCGGGATTGGACGGCGGTGACCGTTAAATTTGCCGGCCCACGGCCCGAGATGGAACCAGTCCGTCAAAATTATTTATCTAACACATTTTGTGAGCTTTATCTTGGAAGATTCTCTGCAGTTGTATTTGTTGTTTTATTTGTTTTATCAGCTATATTTATTGCTTGTAGTTTTACAACATGCATTCGATTATAACAAACGGTAGTATAATGATCCTTACGTTCAAACATGTTTTACGTCTCACATAAAGCTGTGACATTTGACAAACCGATATCGTCACCCCGGGAGAGTCCTTTCAGCAATGACTGGCCTGGCTCCTGAGTCTGGCCTATCAACCTTGTGAGGTCGAGCCTAGATAAAACTGCCCGGCATATTACCACCACCGGTGGGCATGCAATGGTCAGGCCTCACCGAAATGCCCTAAAACAACAAAACAGAAACAGAAACAACCACCAACGGACACGGGACAGTGTCCCCGATTGGCATTAGGTCAACACGTCGATGCTCGAGCGCCTCCTGTCGGTGCCCCCCACTGACCACGCCCGGAGCCGTCTGTCCAGCCTGGATTATTGCCGCCCTCCCCGGGGGCCGCGCAGACAGATAGGAACTAATAGACAGAGATACGGACGCAGACCGCTGCGACCCCCGGGGGTCCACAGCGTCCTCAGAAAGTCACACAAAACCCCGCTGCGCCACTGCTCCCGTCAGCCCGAGTGGCACAAGAAATAGACTCATTTTATGGTGCGGTGATTGCATTACGGCGGGCAATGTCATTGACGGTCTTCATGGTGACAGAGCGCCGAATAAATGGAGAAAAAGATACAATGGCAAGCGTTTGTAAATAAATAGTACCAAATGACTCCCCAATCACGTATTATTTCGCAATTCATTTTGCACACCGTGGCTGTTAACGGCAAGTTAATTTACAGAAAAGGACACACCAATCGTAGCTCGATTCGATGATAGTTTCAGGCTTGCATCAACGTTGCTCATCTCGGGCGATAAAAAGACGCAGCAATGCGATACATTTTTAACCAGAAGAAAGCGAATGCCGACAGAAGTTCCAGTGTGTTTGGCTTGCAGCAAATGTGCTGTTGAATCCGGATAATGTCAAGCTTGATTAGGTATGCTACGCATTTTTATCTGATATTTCGAGGACCAGTGGCCGGAATTAGCTATTCTGATATACCAACTCCAACGCCTTTGAGCCCATTCGAGGTACTTACAATTGGGTCCATACGAGTACAACTGAAGTGAGGCGATGCATGAGTCATATCACAGAGTTGAGTTGCCTACAGGAAAAGAGAAAAACTGGTCATATATGATCCGTCCGCCTCCCGAACTGACGACAGCACCGCGTCCGTCCCACAGGTCGTGACCTCTGCAGGTCGGCGGCGGCTGTTTATTTCCCGAGCGTCTCTCGCAGCACGCGCCGGCCTCCGATGACGCTCCGTCCGGCAGCCGAGTGACGAAGATAGATGACGGCGGACGGCCAGACGGGCGGGAGAGATGAGAAGCTGCTCAGGAGAGGCGAGACGGACCGAGCTGAGAGAGGTAAGACGGACCGAGCTGAGAGAGGTAAGACGGACCGAGCTGAGAGAGGTAAGACGGACCGAGCTGAGAGAGGTAAGACGGACCGAGCTGAGAGAGGTAAGACGGACCGAGCTGAGAGAGGTAAGACGGACCGAGCTGAGACCGCGAGAGAGCCGGGAAGGACCGAGCTTAGACCGGGAGAGGTCGAGCTTGGACCAAGGGAGACGAGACGGACCGAGAGAGTCGAGGCGGAATGAGCTTAGACCGGGAGAGGGGCGAGACAGAGGCGGAGCCAAGACTGACAGGGGCTATAAACGGACCGAGCTAAAACCGGGGGAGTCGAGACGAGTGATCGCTGCAGCCCCAGGGTCTGTTGGCCGTCCATTATATAGTGCCGGATGCTAAATACTGGATATTTTTTTAGGAAAACTCAGCATGTAGGCAGGTGCTTAGGATAACTTTAACAAAACGCCTGGAGTCTGGACAAAAACGCTTAGAGATTAGGAACAAAACATCATTTTACATGAAAAAACAGCATCTTTATTCAGGCAGATTTCTGCCCCGAGCTTGAGGGACTTACTGAATAAGGCCGCCTGAATTCTTTTTTAACTGCCGTAAGTCTTCCCGTATTTACGGACCATTAGCCCCCGGGGCACACTAGCGTTAATGCCGTAGTCTGGAGAACAGCGACTCTGAAGTTAAACTCGCCTCCGGGAGAGTTCAGCGGACGGCAGAGACGGAGCCCTCTGAGCGGAATGCCGTAGAAAAAACTCCCGATATCAGGCCGAGATGGTCGAATTAGCTGCGCAATGTGCATATTGCCAGGCCCGGAGGCATATCAATATAATCTCGCAGTGTGTTGAAAATCGAATAGTTATTAGATCGGTGTTGTATTCGTCATTATTTCTAATAGCTTTAATCACGAGCGTCGAGCAAAAACCTTGGTTCACTGTGACCGTTACGTCAGAATAAGTTCTACCTCATAAATGATGGAACATAATTGTGCTATTACAATCTCTTGGCTCACTGGGTGGGCATTGATCATTAGGGTGTCTCGAAAGTGGGGTCAAAAAAATTAATTCACTTCCTATAGCAAAAACCACTTGCATCTAGCCTTATTATGACATGAAATGATGATTAAAAAATTCTCATTTAATGTTAAGAACCAGCGCACCTCGTCTATCGTAACCCTTTCCTGACAATTTCAGGCGTTGCAGTCTCCATAGACTTTCTTCGGTGTTATTTTCACGTAAACCGTATAAATGCGTTCTCGCTTCAGCTTGCGATCTTTCAACGAATCAATACATTTGTTGCATAAACATTTACTAAAACACTTTCCTAGCGCAACATATCCAAAAATTGCTACCTGAGTGATACTCATCCTGCTGACAGTAGGTTATGCTAAAAGCTAATATCCATGTCGCTGACTAGGTAAAATGCAGTAAAAATGCCAACACACATGATATACGGCGTTTTCTACGTTTCTGTCTTGCTCTTGAGCGCACTCCATTCCATTTTTTTATTGTCCGGATAAGTGGGAGGTCGAGCCTTGACTTCGCACGGCTGACATTGATATCGGCCGTCATGGCCGACACGCTTCTGCGACACTATTTTGCGCTCATAGCAGCATTCCTCTGCTTCAGGAATCATCGGAGAACATCGCTTCTCCACGGAAGCTGCGTGCGAGGAAGACTAGCAAATCCGGATTTGCGTTTTTTGGGGGGCAACTCATGCAGGAGCCAAACCTACGTACCCCCAAATCCTATTTTCTCATCGGATTTAGGCCACTTATTTTTCGTCACAGCCCTGACACGATGAGCATTTTTTTTTTAACTAAAAAGAAAAAATATAGAAATGGTAACCCACCCGACCATTGCCTTTATATATCACTTTGTAAACACTTCACATTGCTTTTGTCGACCAGTTAACCCGCTCCGGGTCGGTGCTTGGCGCAACCTTTGCGGGCCGGGAGGTGGTAAAACACCCCCTGTTTAACTCGGCTCCTGGGCCACGCACTGATTGAACTATGTTTCATTATCGTTTGGGGGGGGGGCAAATAGGCCACTTTACCTTTGAGGGGGCATAGCCCAAAATGCCCCCTACCTGCAGATCCGCCAGTGTAAGAGACCGTTGGAGCTGGAGGAAGGTCTGCTAGGTGGACATTCAGGACCAGGACCACGGTCTGGTTACGGGTACTTGGACCGGGCTTTGCCATGGCCACCACCAATGCATACATCGACAGTCGACACCATCACGAGAGTTCAATCCACTGCAGGGGGCCCCAGCCCCTCGAGGTAAAACTCATCAAGCCTCCAGGCGGCAGCGGGCGTCGTTCTCGTCCTCGCCAAGTGGCAAGTAGGCTCTGGACACGAGACGGCTCACAGTTGTGGCTTGGGTACTATGATTATGGTTAGAGCAGACGAAAGTTATCACTGTGCTGCTACCGCGGTTGGGCTCGAGGGGCTCGAGTGTCGACTAGGCGTCTGTGGCGCTAGCGTGTCTGGTCCGAGTTCCGACTGAGATTATGGGCTGGTGCCGGACGTGGTTTGTCCAGAGTTTAGCTGCGCTGAAGCGAAGTTCGCATTACAGACGTGACTTTAAAAAGTGTATCGACAACGTCTACACTATGTAAATAAAGTCAATTAACTACCGACCTGAAACTACGCTTAAACTCTTCGCCCACGAACTCTGCCTGAGACTTTCGTGAAAACCACCGTACTATTACTGCCACTAACACCAAGCAAAACCAATGGAGACTGCAACGCCCGAAAAGTAGGTGCAAGCTTTTGGAAATCGCGACTGCGCTTGTTGAAGACAATGGCTCATAATTTTTTTATTGCGATTTTCGAAACCAGCAGACTCGATTGCAAATGTTTTGGACTATAGGCATGTCAACTTTATTTTTCGAGACACCCTATTGATCATGTGTATCGATTGATATGAGCTATTCATTATTCCATTCTAGACCACATCAACTGTAGCACAGATAACAGGTATTTAAAATGTGGGCAATGTTCTGAGACATTTATTGTAAGGAGCATTTACCTGCTTCTGTAATTACTAATTATAAAACGTAATTTTTCAAGTTTCTCAGTGCTTGAGCGAGGAACATATTAAAGCATATTTGAATAATGACCTTATCCTCGTATTTAAAAAGGTTAAATCAAAACACTTTTTCATTAATAATTTCGAGCACAGCTCTTCATCAGAATATTAAGTAAAAACGCCGCGATAAAAATCTGGATTTTTATCGCGGCGTTTTTGACTTCATATTCTGATGAAGAGCTGTGCTCGAAATTATTAATAAAAAAGTGTTTTGATTTAACCTTTTTAAATACGAGTATAAGGTCATTATTCAAATAAAAACGTAATTTTCATAAAACTTATCGAATAATCGAACTCGAAGTAAAGTTAACTGACATATAACACGTCGTTTTCAATAAATAAGCAACAAAAAATAAATGAATAAACGACCGCAATAACAAGTTACGCTCACTCGCACCCAGTCCCACAATGCAAATACGTTCACCGAACACGCGGCAAATGTCAGGTCAGCAGTGTGAGTCGGTCGGACGAGCGTCGGTCGATGCCGAGCCGATGCCTTTTCGATGAGCCAATCTGCCGCTGCTTGCCGACGCGTTTCGCAGCCGCGACCGGGCACGCCACTTCAAACATGACGAGTTGACATACGCCAGTCTGTTGCACTTTGCAATCGGCCCGACAAACACAGTAATTCAGACAACCGTAACGAGCGGTGATGGTAATTTAAATTGAGCCCGAAATAATTCAGCGTGGCCCACGCGAAGCTCGCAAACAAGTACCTGCGTCGAGGAGTTAAATATAAGCTAAATAAACTTCAAGTAGGTACAGAGTCTTGCTCATCACTAGGTTAGCATCACGTAAGAATCTTGAGCATCACTAGGTCGTTATTTTCCTCCCTTTCAGTGCCTCAGGCTGCTATTTTATTTCGCCTATACATCAAGGAAGACATGTTACATTCCACTTCGATGTTTCGAAGTACGGATGGATAAGAGATTAGAATCAGGAAAACAGGAGGAAAGCAAACAGTTAGTCACCGATATGACCATGCCATGCAGCGTCTACTTGCAGCAAGTAGACGCCATTCATTCGCCGCTTCTCTGATCGTAAGTACTTCGGTCAGCACCTGCTGCTGACCGAAGTACTTACGATCAGAGAAGCGGCGAATGATAGAAAGCGACAAAGTAAAACGGCTGTTGCTTGTGCTTGAATGGTAATTAGACTGAAAACATTTCCAGACTCTGGAAATTGATCGACTCCCAAGGTAACAAAATTGACCTGACCTGAGGTCAACTGTAATGTAAAAAAAAAATCTGAGACATACATTTCATTAAAGGTAGTGTGCCAGCTTTCTTGGACCGTATGGAGTTAATGGCCCAGATAAGGAGAACCGGATTTTTAGAACTTATCCATACCTTCAAAACTCATGGAAACGTCTTAAATTCTTCAAATTTTGAGTACCCCAGTGCGAAATTCGCCCCGACGGGTTGTCGGTCGTACCCCAACCACATTTCACACCACTATGAACAATAAATGCACACACTGAAATCGCTATTACCGATATGCTCATCCAATCAAGTTTCGATAAACCCGTTCATCATCATCTCCTGCGGTTTCGAACACGCCTGTTAGTTAGGTGGCTTCTGATGCTCGTCGAGGTCGGAATTTCCAAATACGCGTGGTGCGTCGGGCCGCGCGCTCTGACTTCGGCCAAGAAAAATGCGTCAGCTGATCATTGTCATTTCTGCCACTTGCGTGTGGTGAAATGGGGTCATAACTTATAAGACGGCTTTTTCATATCAATTATTTTACATAAAATCATATTTCAAACCATAAATAATGTTCGACAGCCAAATAAAAGAAACAATACCAATACGGGCTTACAGTTTAAGGCTCGACATTGTGTTGTCTACGACTAGACAGCTGATAACTCATTCCCGTACGTCGTATGGTCGTAACCACAGGGGAGCAATGCCGCTTCAACCCTATTGGCCGTAGTGTCTAACGGTGGCGGCCATATTGCGCAGACCAGAAACCGGCTGCCGCCTGTGTTGAGGAATAGGGAATTCGGGACCTCGATTTACGTCTGCGGCCGCCGTATCCGTTACGTTCAAGTTACGTAGATACGGAACCCGGCATCTTTCGCAGAATTGAGTGGGAAACACGATCGTATCTTCAGAATTCCTCAAATTCACTCGCCTGACCTACATTTGCCCCGGCCGAGGGGGTTGATTGAACCCACCTCGCTAATGCACCGCTAATTAAACTAGAATTAAGCGGTAAAGTGGTCGTATGCGGCAAAGTATAATGCAGAGTGACTGGTAGGAACCCGCTGTAAGGGTCTCAGGTCAACCGGTGACCTCTGAGGTCAGGTCAAGTGATCTAAGGCACGGGTTCGGTTTTTGGTAAATAACTTCGCCAAAAATGGCCGTAGAGCCGCGATTTTGGCATCATCGTGTTCAGCTAGCTCAGGCGCATCGAGTGATATACTTTTTGTTCGGGTCAGGTCAACTTAGGGTGTTGACCTCAGGTCAAGGTCAGGTCAGCACCCCCAGGTCACGAAGTTGGTCGAAAGAGGTCATGTCGCATATCATTCGATTCGGCAGGTCTTCCTGAGTCCATTGGTGGCTTTCCCGACTCGCTAGCTCAATTTGATCGGGAGTTATTGAAGAAAAATGGTGACCCTTGTGACGTCACAAATGACGTCACGCAAGGGCAACAATGCAAATATGAAGCATAGAACCTTGCAACGAGTGCATGAAATCATGATTTTATATGCTTGAGATAGTTTCAGATCATTCTCGGCGCCAAAATAACAATTTTCATATTTCCCCATTGACTTATAAGGGTTTAACGTATTAGTTCCTTATAGCTGAGGATTTTTTAGGATTTCATCTTGTTCTCCACTCAATTCTGCGTAAGATGCCGGGTTCTGTGTCCACATAGCTTGAGCGTAACGGATGCAGCGACCGCAAACGTAAATCGAGGTTCCGAATTCCCTATTCCCCAGCACAGGCGGCGGCCGCTTTCTGGTCTGCGCAACATGGCGGCACCGTTGGACACCATTTGGCGGCCGATGCGCATTCCACATTATAGAGTTCAGTGGTCGTAACACTATAATGACCTTTGCTTATTGTCACAAGTGCGCCGCATTCGCGATTGTTGCCCGACGCCTGTTTGCAGGTGAGCCCACTACAGTTGTTATACATATCTAAAAACCGAAAAACTTTTAGGCGAAAAAGGCACTATTCCAGGCCCATTTTTGATTTTTTTTTGCGATATTATGTAAAAACAGAAGCTTCTTATCTTAGGAAAAATAAAATGGGAAATCTTTCAAAGGTGGCACACTACCTTTAATCACATCACTCTTATCAAACGCGGAACAATCAGTGATAAACGGATTCACAACGAATCCTCCCTCCCCAAAAGCTCATTTTCTTAAAATACCTGTGAAGTTGTTTACTGCAATCAACAATAATCAAGATATTCAAACATTGCCAGGAAATCCAGCAATCACGCTACCTCCCTCCCTCTGTCCCCTGATGACGTCACAGTGACTCACCGCTCTCGCCGTCTCCCTCCTCTGCCTCCAGGGTCCTCGGGGCTGACCTCTGACCCGCTCCGCGCGCCGGCCGCCGCACTCGAATGGACGCCCGTCGCCCGGCTGTCTGCTGTTCGCGCCTGCGCACTGCGCCCCGGCGCCGACCGAAGGATTGCCGGCAGCGGCGGCTCGCGGGCATACATCATACATGAGCCGCCGGCTGCGCCGTGCCGCACGCACAGATCACGACGGCTGAACACGGGAGGTGACGGTCTGTTGGGGGAGCTGAACGTTCACGCCTTCAGGATGTGGTAGACGCTGCGGGACGGCCAAATGCTGCTGTTTTCCAATGTCGTACACACACACACACGTGTGTGTACGTGTGAGGTAGGAGGCGTGGCTACGTCAAATTGTGCTCTTCCTACCAGGCTGTGACAGCATTGGTGTTGTAAAATGCACTGGTAATATTCGCACCACCCGCAGTACTGCATATCGCACGGCGAAGAAATGGAACCACACACACACACACACAGCTGTACATATAGGACCCTATGTAGGACCTATGCAGCATGAAATGAGCTCAATCCAGACAGCGCACAAGGACCTCCCTAGAAAGCCCGAGATAAGTCACGTTCTCACAAAAGAGGTATGAAACTTCACTTATTTATTATCGAATACACCGCAACCAGGATAAAATAACTAGTCGGCTAAAAGCGCGGCGTAGGTCGTGGGATGCTGACGCTCCCGTCGCCGCCATAGCGCCATCTACATACGCTCGCCGGAACGGAGGCGCCCTGAGCTCGTCGTGAGCTGGACAGCAAAAGTAAGGCAGCAAGATCACTATTTACACGCGGAGCGTCTGGGAGGGCCCGACTGCGGGCCGCCACTGACGACCAGATCTCACAGCCGGCAGAGGATACCACCGCACCGCCATCCGCAAAGCATCGCCGCGGTCTGCACCTAGTCCACACATCGTCCACCTCTCGTCCCCATCCCATCCACATCCAGTCCACACCGCCTTCCACATCCCATCCACACGTGGCTCACACTGTAGGCCGCTCGTGCTCACTATCAGCACCAGTCCCCTCCCACCCGACCGCGCACTGTCCACATGCGGTTACTGTCAGTCTCTCAAAGTCAGTCCACTTCTAGTAGGGGTTAAGCGTCTCCGGCCTAGTAGCGTAAAACCATAGTGTAATAAAAAAAAAACAAGTGAAGACACTTCACCAATTTATAATGCGAACTCATGTAACAACTTTTCTTCAGCTGGGAGTGGGCTATGTAGCTACTCACGCTGCAGTATGACGTAATAAAACGTCATAAAACGTCACTTCCTAAATCATTGAACGCTATCCTCAGCCAACACCATCGTCTTCCATGCCCCGTAATGATGGATTTTTTAATTGACTTAGACATGAAAACCCACGTTTTTTATTCCATTAAATGAAGGTAAATAATCCCAGTTTCTTACAGAATGCCTTGGTACACACAAAATCAGAGGACATCGATGTGCCACAGTCCGATGAAGTCCTACGCGATCTAGTGCGCTCCAACATGTTGAACATCATATTAGCATTCACTCTATTCCGTAACGTTACTCTCGAGAACCCACTGTTTTTATTGCATGTATGGTCGCTTACTGAATGCAATGTGACAGAACCGGTATGAAAATATTCAAAAACAGAGGACATCATAAGACCACCGGCTCCTAAAAGTGTATGGTATTTTGACAACGTCCCGGCTAAAACATGACCCATTTTGATCGGACCTTTGATTGACATAGACTCGAGAACCCATGTTTTTTATTGCATTTAAGGATTTTTTTATTACACTACGGTAAAACGTATGGCCTCCGGCCTTCCCGGCTCGGCGCGATCATACATACTCGGTGCGACGCCCGCCGCCGCCGCCAGGGTCACCTCACTGATCGCGGTAGCTGCTGGCGCGGGACGAGTTGCGGGCCCAGTTGGGGGTACGCGGCGCCGTGAGCGGTGCGTCCGACGGCTGTACGTGTACAGGACGGTAGCGGCGGATCGGCTGCGCGTGGTGGACGGCCTCGCGCCGCTGGCGGGCCACCTCCTCTTCTTCTTCACGCTGCCGCTGCCGCTCCGCCTGCCGAGAGCGGAAGAAGGCCGGATGTTAGGGGTGAACAGGGGTGGGACTAGGGAGAGGGGACTGAAAAAAGGCGCGGAAGTAATGGCGAGGGGTGAGTGACCAGCGGCGTGGCCCTGACCGGAAACAGCACCAAATCAAACAATATCACTCGTCTAACTAAAAATACGTGCTCACCTGGATAATGCAGACTAGGTCTCAGGAAGGTTGGCTTATGCAAAGATACTCCCAACGCACCATCCTATCGCCATATGAAATCATTAACCACTGGTCCTTGCGCAGCACCTAGCAAGCATTAACTATTAACTAAGTACATACTCTACCACAAGACGACGGCCCCAATTATCAGCTCTCACACCCTGCACTCCCTATCTCCCTTCCTCTCCATCCGGCCGCTCTCCTCACCTCCTGCTGGGCGGCCAGCAGCTCTGCCTCGCGCTGTTTCTGGCGCTCCTCGAAGCTCTGTCGGCGCGCCGAGCGCTGGTCCGTGTGCAGCAGGGGAGTGCGCGGCGCGGTCGGTCCGCGAGCCGAGCGCTGCGGCTGGTACGGGTCGCGGCGCGTCACAGTGCACGGCTGTGCGTGGAACTCGGCCGCGGCACGGGCGGCCGCCGCCTCCTCCTCCAGCTGCCGGAAAAACAGGGGACCGTTAGCCGAGAAACCGGAGACATGACTGTAATTGAGAGGAAGATGGACATTTACGGGTGGCGGCGAAAGCAGAAGAATTAGACAGTTGAATAGAAAGAGATAAAAACCCCAGTGAAACCCATCAAAGACAGAAACGCCTCTCATTAGTCAACATCCAACAGCTAGCCACAACAGTAGGATCTTTTTTCTGTGTTTACTGTTTATTGTTCACTGGTCCGTCTGTGTTCAGTAGTGCCGCCAAGATCACCAGCCATCTACAATCTACACACTTCATATGGGCTTAATTTACACATACAACAGTCATCATCATGAACATGCACTGCAGTCAGGTCAGTTCCAACTCCAAAAAGGAACCCCTCGGAATCCTGCCCCGCCCCGCAAACTATACACATCCTTGTTCTGCGAGGATACCGTCTTTTCCTCGCCGCAGCGCCGCAGCATTGCGGCACGCCACCGCAGTGACCAATACCTCAAGGTATTGATAGCCCCGATCTATGGTGGATAACTCCACCCATCCCCAGTCCCTTCACTTGGCGACTAGCACACCTACGGTACCTTTTTCTGGCGGCGGGCGGCGGCGGCGGCCGCCTGCTGGTCACCAGGGAGCTGGAACGGCTCCGGACGGGTGGTGGTCGGCGTGCGACGCTGGGGCACGCCGCGCGGGGACGACGGCGGCAGCAGCTGCGCGCGAAACTCGCGCTGACGACGCTCCTCCTCCAGCACCTGTGAGCGGACGGGAGGGGTGAGTGCTAGTGGTATACAGAGACTGCAGTAAACACCCATCGATACACCACAGAGACAAAGTTTGAAACATTTATGGCGAATAAACACTGGGAATTCGCTTTAGACCACAATAAATACGAGCTCATCGTAGAACTGTCAAACAGGTAGTCACCGATGAAACTACACGCTATTCAGCCTGAGCGACCATTCATCAATGGGCGGAAAAGTAAAACTGGGATATGGTTGCTTGCTCACCAGTCATCAGGCTAACTTCACCTCCCTCCACCATCCACTCCACTAAGGATCCCAGCCTCCACACCCGTCCAGCCCATGACCCTCCCCATCCCCCCCACCCCCATTCCTCGGCTCGCACCTCCTGAATTTTCCTCTCCTTCTCTGCCTGGCGCTGCTTGTCGCGCTCCTCGAAGCTGAAGGGCGCCGGACGGGTGGTGCGGTGCTCCACATTCGGCCGGAACGGAACGCCCGCGTCCGGGATGGGGTTGGCGCGCACCACCCCTCCCGACTGCTGCTGCTCCTGGGAGGGGCAGGAGGCGGTCAGCGGGGGCGGGAAACGGGTACATTGCGAGGTTCGTGCGAGTCGGGGGGCATACTGTCCAGTTTCCACATAAGAGTGAGCTCTTTAAACGGAAGACAGCAAATCAATGTAATACGAGAATCAACTAAAAAAAATTCGCTTCACAAGCATAGATCTTCAGGCATGCCGGTGCTTCGTGCAAAATTGATGACTGGTGCGTTTAGAGTACAAATAATTCATCGGACTAAACCCCGAATCTAGCGCGCTCTTTATTCTCCTACGGCGTAGAACACCAGCCGAATGACTGAATCGAACTAAAAAACGGTCACACATTCGCATCATGACCACGACAACAGGTATTCGTCCTTATATCAAACCTACATCAACAAATATCTCGCCGTGCTTGCCAAAGCTCTCTGCCTCACCCATCACCGGCATGCTCACCTTGGGATCTTGGGCTGCATGCACCTCTGCTCTCCCGCCCGTTCCTCACCTTCTCCTTATTTACCTGCACCTCCTTCCTGCGCTCTGCCATGCGCTGTTTGAGCTGCAGCGCCGGCGACTGCGGCTTCGTGGCCGGCGCCGCCTGGCGAGCGGGCACCCCCTGCGGCGCGCTGAGGATGGCGCGCGGCGCCGGCTGCGCGCGGAACTCGGACACCGCAGAGCCCGTCGTCTCGTCCGCGGCCGACTGACGGCCGACGTCAGAACGGGGTTAATGTTACACTGATATACGATACAGACCACAAACGAAAACAAAAAATGGACAGCGAGTACTTTACGGCATTAAACTGCGTCGTGCTTGGCACATACAGGTGTAAAACCATGAAGCTCATACACATATATGAGTTATATGACCCATCGGCCCCGTTCATTGGACCCATCACTTACTTCTCCTATGAACCCCCACCCACAGGCCACAACCCTCCTGTGTCGCCCGCACCCGTGCTCTCGCGATACGCACCTGGGTCCTCGGAGCCGGCTGCGTCAGGTGGAACGGCTCGACGGCGGTGGTCGGCCGAGCCTGCTTGGCGGGCACTCCGACCTTCTGCTCCAGAACGCGCCGGTTCACCGGACGGGCGCGGACCTGGTGCCTGGGAGGGGAGAGGGGTGTCATGGGTTAGAAAGGCACGATGGAGGGCGAATGGAGGCAACAGGAGACTATGAGAACGAAAATGGAGCGACATGCATTTTTTTATGCAAAGACAAATAACACTGTAAAATATTGCACCATTGTGGAGACACTCTGATCACGTCATGATTACTCAGGAGAGCAGCTACATTTTAGCTCCACTCAAAACCCACCATTATTTATCACATCTGATCACCCAACGCCCGACCTAGGCACCCTGCTCCCTCTCCGCTCCTGGCCACCGCGCACTCACTGTCTGGCCTCCTCGAGCTCTGCCAGCTCCTGCTGCTCGCGGCTGGGGATGTTGTTCGTGGAGCGGGACCGCGCACGGGTCATCAGCGGCGGGGTGCGGCCGATGGTCACGTGAGAGGGGGCGGCGTCCACAGAGCCTGACGGACGGTCACCTGGGAATGGGCAGGCGGCCGTCAGAGAGACCGTGCGCCAACAAGACTAGGCAACAACTTAACCCGCGCCCTGCTGGGGGGGGGGGGGTGTTTGAACACCCCCCCCCCCCCTGTGGTTTTTCGCGAATATCTCAAAAACGGCGGCGCGGATACACCTTATCATACATCAATTCTACACATGTTGTGAAAATTTCAGACCAAGGTCATTCAAGGTCAGGTCACCAGGTCACTCGAAGTGACCTCACCTCATAAAAAGTTTCAATGTCTGTCATAGCTACACCGAGTGACCGATCGATTTGAAACTTTCAGCGATTGCTAAGAGCATTAGCATGTACAAAATGTATATCTCAGAATTTTGATATCGATGACCTAAGGTCAGGTCAATTTTGCGACCTCACCATTATAAGTCAATGGGAGAAAATTGAAATGCGCCTGTTTTGGACGAAAGACATTATAAACACTCCCAAACACTGAATTACAAGTGGTTTAGACACACTGAACATGAAAATGGTGTCTGTGACCCCTGTTTATGCCCTGAGGTCATCTTAGGTCACGAATCGTATCTAACAGTTTTTCGCAAATAACTTTTGATAGAGGCATGCTAGAGCGATGAAAACGCCTTAGATGTGTTCAGCTCGACGATACGGATCGACTGATATGCAACATGACCCTTTCCGGTCAGGTCATGACCTTAACCTGAGGTCAAATTTTCAAGTTGACCTTTCAAGGTCAAATTATAGTTCGTTCGATGCGTCTTGACGAGAGGAACACGATGCCGGTAAAAGTAAGCTCGTACAATGCTTGGGTCAAAAGTTATTGCAGAAAAACTGTTTCCGAAAAAATCGGCTATTTTTGCAGTTTTTGCCCCCTGCAGGCAAAACCGTTGACGTTAGGTCAAATCTGAGAGAATTACTCAGAAAGGGCGTTAATAGGGCTATCGAATGCGCTTTTCCGCGGCGCTGTAGCTCTATTGGTTCCCGAGTTATGCGTTGGCTTCTTGGAAATTTTCGACATTCGACCTGGAAATCGGCGAAAATTTGCCTTCAATGACCTCTGGTGACCTGACCTTTGACCTGACCAAAAAATTGACCGAAGTGATTTCCTCATTATTTTTGACGCTCTTTCGAACGCCGCCTTCCGCGTATCGCTACGTGGCCCAGGAGCCGAATTAGAAGGGGGGGTGTTCAAACACCCCCCCCCCCCCCCAGCAGGGCGTGGAAATCCAGGACCCCCAGCCGGGCGCGGGTTAAAAAAAAAAACGGGAACACAATGTCCAGTTAACATCAATCTCAGCATTACGGCAGCCGGGAGCTGACAAACGACATTGCAGGACAATAATCGAACTCAAGCATCAACAGACTGCTAATTTCTACCCCTGGCAGCCCCCGTGCCCGCTCATTCCCGGCAATCCCTCCCCGTCCCGGCCTCTTCGACACTGACCGGCAGGCCGTGAGTGGAAGCGCGGCGGCGTCCTGCGCTGGAACCCCTCGATGAGCTGAGCCGTGGAGCGGAACTCTGTGACGGGCCGGCCGCCGACCGACCCGGTGGCGCTCCGATCGTCGTGCAGGTGGAACGGCTGGGGTCGGGTGGGCGGCTTCACGGCCGCCACGCGCGGACGCACCGGCTGAGCAGGGAAGACGGGACGTCAGGGCGGGGCGATCCAGCGGGACGACTGACCAATCCGCCTCCTGACTTTACACCTCAAGAGCGGATATGACGTAGCGAAACATAAGCCTTCATGTTCACATTCGTTCACTCATTTTGCAATCAACACTCCACTGCCATCAGAGGATTATTGTAAGTATCCTTATGACCAGCGGGCGCTGCGGCACCTACCTGTTTGGCCTCGGCCGCCTTTTTCTTGTAGTCTGCCATCTGCCGACGGAGTGAGTCGAGCCGTGACTGCTGCTCGTCTTTGACGGCCTTCTCGGCGGCGGCGCGAGCGGCCGAGCGCAGCTGCAGGCCCCGCCTGCAGGGAGGAGAAACAACGAGCGGTCAGAGTCGTTACAGACGAGCTTCAACTGACTCCAGCCGCGGTTATAGCGACACAACACTCGAGGGCACGGATATGACACAGCCCATCGTAAGGGGTACGAAAATCATGATGTTTTATGACACAAAGTTGTAAAATGAGAATTATGATCGATAAACAGTGAATACTGCGCACAATGATCGAGTATCGCGGTCGGGGACGACCAGCAAAAGAGAGGCATTCCTTCGGAAGACCATACTGACCTCAGCACATTGGGCGTCTCGGCCACCACGAGGTTCGGCGGCCCGCCGCCAGCAGCCATCCGGGCGGCGTCGTTCTGACTGAGACTGCGTCGCCGAGAGGTGGAGCAGGGGGCGCGTCGGGACGCGGCAGCGCCAGTAGAGGGCGTCCTCCGCGTCGCTGCCGGCTGTCCGGTGGCGGGCGTGCGGCGGCTCGTGGCTGGCGCCGGCGAGCTGGCCGGCGTGCGGCGGCGCCCGGCCGCGACGGGCGTGGGTCGTCTCGGCGGCACCAGCGGCGGGGGCGCAGCGCCGCGCTGCCGGCCAGAGGCGCGGACCGCCGGCGCCGGCGGCTCGGGAGTCGGTGCGCGCCGCGCCGCCAGCCGCGGCGAGGCGCGGGTCGGCGCCGTGTCGACGCTGCGGCCGCGGCCGCGCGACGACGGCAGCCGGGAGCCGGGCCGGACGGTCGGCGTCGAGTCCTTACCCTCGGGCACGGCCCGGTGCTCGGTGGCCGGCGGCGAGCGAGGCTCCGACTGCGGACGCGACTGTGACGGAAAACGGCGCATATCAGTCGGAAAACATACACTAGGGACAACGAATCACTCAAAATTCGGCGCCAATGAAACTCGATACCGCGTAACAATTACAGACTGTTGGATCCTCCAAACATCACGCAAGCCCCAAGTAGGTAAATTTTCAATGCTTTCTATCATGCCGGTGTGCCATTAAGTTCAGCATTATCAGTTCACACTTAAATGATGAAAAATGGTTCTCCCGATATATCGCACTTTAAATATCGCATACAGTATTCCGACCCCCCACCCCCACACTCGGACCGTACCCCTCCGTCCACCCACCTGCTTGGCGCACGGTTCCTCCACCGTGGGCTCGTCTTGCGAGTCGACGGTGGCAGCGCGCTTCAGCGGCGCCCTGGTCCGCGGCCCCGGCGAGTTGGTGACGTCCCGCAGACCGGCCGGCCGAGTCTGACCGGCACCGGAGCCGACCAGCGTCTGTACGCCCATCACCAGGTTCTTGGGCACTGTGGAGGGAGCGGGAGGCCGCCAGTGACAGGCGATGTAGGACGGTCCGGTACATGGACAGAGTGTGAGCGCTGAGCCTTCGCGAGAGAGCAGTCTGAAGAACGACGTCAGCCAGGCATCTTGACGATTGACAAAAAAGTTTGGTACACAATGAGCCAAGCGTATCGTGCCGATCAAGCGATAAGTCACAACCAGTCACCCGTAGGTATAACTAACAGGCACTGTGACTACGAACTACTGGATACAACCTAACCTAAAAGTGATTGATCAGCCTACACACAGGGTGTCCCATAAGTTCGTTCTCACCTAAATTCTACGTTTAGAAGCTCTCTTCCTTAAAGGGACCCTCCCACCTTCAAAAAAGTCAATGAATTGGCATGAAAGTGATGTCGCTCGGTTCAGAAAGAGCGAAAACGAATACCTACCAAATTTCATCGAAAAATATTCACCGGTTTTCAAGATATTAGACTTTTACTTTTGTTTACTTTTTGGGATATCCGCTGTTCCTAGCGACTTTATTCGAAAGTGCGGCACTTGTTGCGCGCAAAGCGGCATATACCACCGCGTGCTACCAAACGTTTTAGTAAAAGATTTAAAATCGTTAGATCTGCGCTGACGTCACAAATTCTAAGGGGGCATTCCAATGCATTAGCCGCTTAGAATCCGAAAACTGCAAGTTTGAAAGTCCATATCTCCGAATTAAAGCATTTTTCGATGTTGTGAGTGCTCAAACCGGTATTTTCAGGCCATGGCCACCAATTTGGCTATCTCAACTCAAAACTAATGTCAAGGTGGGATGGTCACTTTAAAGGCACGCTGAACTTGGTTCGTAACTGAGCTTATATGGTTGCCATGGATGGTAGCAATATGCTCCACAGTAAATTATGTATTTCTCTAAACAAAATACTTTTTGCTAGAGAGCCCACTTCCTGCAGAGATGGCTAGCGCCGCAACATAGTGGTCACCGCCCACCGGTACGGGTACGTCTCGGTATTTAATCAGCACGTGACCATTCGCGACGATTGAGGGTAATTGAAGCCAACCAGTCTGTAGCCAATGTCTGTCGCTAACTGTACGCACAGTCAGCAAGTGACGCCAAAGATTTGTGGGGAGTCAATCACTGCAAGTTTATCCTCTTTCCAGTCAGCCCTCAGCTGAGTGAGCCATGTGGCCAAAACTGTCTAGCGTCAAAGTGGCCATCGGAAAGGTCAAAACGTCTGGAAGTTGATAAGCTGGCTTTTCAGGATAGTTATCAGCTGTCTAATAATATTTTTTCGGAATACATAACTCAAGGTGACTTAACCCTAGCCCGTACATGGGGGGAGGGGGGTTGCCCCCCCCCCCCCAGGTAGTTTTTCTGCTCTGTACTCAACATTTTTAGAGCTAGAAGGCTGATTTTTCGTATAGCTGCTTCTCTATTCTTTCTTGGTGTTCGCTGAAAATTTAAGTTTCTGTGGTTTTTGGTTTCGGAGATATGACCTTGTTCTTCAGTTCATGTCATGACCCAAATTACAAATATCCAATATCTTGCGTTGGCTATGGGTCTTGTGAGCTTTTGACGCCTTGATTTCGGCCTTTTTTGCCAGTCTTACCTCCCACCTATCATGGAACATGTTGTTCGACGATGTACAGACTCAAGATCAGGGTCAAGGTCAACCTAGGTCATCTAAAAACATTGCGTTTTAGGCAAGCTGAATTTACTTTTCCTGAAGTTTCTTTGACTGTATTTTTGATAAAGGCTTCTCATGTAGGTATGGACACATAAACAATCGGTGCACACATCAGTATACACACAGACACACACAGACATACAAACACATATCGTTGACCTTGACCTAACTTGACCTGAAATGACCTCAGCAGCAAAAACCTGGTCGGATAGTGTGACAAAGAGGTTCTAGCTGGCTTGGCACCACAATTCGGCATCGTCATCGGTGTATGATGAGCAGCGCACTTGATATGCAACGGTGACCCAAAACAGCAACATTTGTTAGTTTGACCTGGAAGGTCAATGACAGAGAAGGTAAAACTGGGCATCATTGGATTCGTCTCTTCCCAAAGAATCTTTTTGATCTCTACCGCGAAGCTCTATCTCCAACAGGAACGAAATGGCGCGGGGGGTGGCAACTGGCAACTCCCCCCCCCATGCGCGTTCTAGGATGGGGAAAATGGCATGTGCGGGCGAGGGTTAAGCTTCAGGCTCACCGTAGGATTCAAAACAGTGGAAAATGTCTTAAAATGGCCAAGCATGTGTTTCGTTATGCCTGAGGCTAAAAAAAAACTGGAGGGCCGATGACAATCAATGTGGTCATCTGGACTACCTACTGTACAAGCCCTAATAGGTAAAACTAAGCTCACAATTTTTTTACGGGCGGAATCGTGAGAACCACGGTAAAGTTGCGCGCCGCAGGCAACGCCGACGCAGAACCTCCTGATCGGGTTGCTACTTTTCCATTCCGCGCCCGCGCTGGCACACGAGCGACGGGTGTCAGTGGCGGCCCGCTAGCGGCTAGTACGTTTTAACCCTCGCATGTGTGCGGCGTTTGCCAGCTTCTAATGTGTAGGGGGGGGGGGGGGTCGGTTGGACCCCCCCCCCTTGCCGTTTGGCCCCTGATCGAGCTAGAGCTTCGCGGAAAAAACGAGCGTGTTGCCCGTGACGAGAGGAAGCCGATGATACCCAATTTTAAGGTCCTAGGTCATTGGTTGACCTTCCAGGTCAGGTCAATGACCCAAGGTCGGGAAAATCGGGGCCTGTTAGAAAGTCGTAAAGTGTGGCTGCTAAGGGGTTTTTCGGGATGCTGATCACGAATATCGTGTTAGTTTTGATCACAGATGATGTCTTTTAGCATTTAGACCAGGTCGGGTCAGGTCAGGTCAGGTCAACCAGTAGGCTTCGTGACGGGTATTCGTATTACGTGTCAACCGCCTCTGACAGCTTCGTAACATGTTACGAAGTCACCAAAACTACTTCGTATATGTTCAAATGGTTGCTAAATTCGAATTCAGCTCCAAAAACTAGCCTAGAAACATGTAAAACTCGAAAAAGTGAATCAAGGTCACCAAAGGTCAATGACCTGACCTGACCTTCAGGTGACCTTGACACCCACCCAAACGCATGGGAGCAACATCAAATCACATGTTTGAACGTTTGAAACCACGAAAAGCTTGCAAACGCGCGGCTAATGCGAGCCGACATACGCGGAATCGCGATTCCGGCCAAACATGGTCTCGGAAAAGAGGTCACAGGTCAAATGTCATTGGGGTCAGGGTCATGAAATTTTCAGGGTCGGTGTAAAATTGATCAATGTGAGGGTACTGAAAGTTTCGTCGCGATCGGCCGCTTTTTACGCGAGTTATTCGCGAAAAACCATGGGGGGGGGTCCATCCGACCCCCCTACACATGCGAGGGTTAACCCGCGCCCCGCTGGGAGGGGGGGGGGGGTAGAACACCATATAGAACACAAATATTTTACTTTAAAAAATGGCTGAAAGTGGGGGATCATGCCCCAGCACCCCTGTTCCTAAGCCTATGCCGATTTGATATGACGAAGTCGTTTAAAAGCATCTTATCTCTAAGCAATTTATTAATTGTGGTCACTTTTACAGACGTCTATACTCTATAGAGCTCCGACTTTTACATTTCTTCCTCGTTCAGGAGCAATGTTTTAACCCTCACCGCCCACCGGACCTTTAACCCGCGCCGGGCCGGGGGGGGGGGGGTGTTTGAACACCCCCTGCGTTTTTTCGCAGATATCTCAAAAACGGCGGCGCTCCGCGCCGCCGTTTTTGGCACACCTGTTCGTGCATCTTTTCCGCACATGTGAAAATTTCAGACCCAGGTCGCCTTAGGTCAGGTCACCAGGTCACGCCAAGTGACCTCACCTCAGAAAAAAATAAGAATGCTCGTCATAGCTACACCGATTGATCGATCGCCTTGAAACTTTCAGCGATTGATTAGAGCAACATTATCTATAAAACGTATATCTCGGAATTTTGATATCGGTGACCTAAGGTCAGGTCAATTCTGCGGCCTCTCCATTATAAGTCAATGGGAGAAAATTGAAAAGCGTCTGTTTTGCACGAACGCTATTCTAGACACTCTCAAACATCGAGATGTAGGTAAGATTGACACACTGAACCAGAGAATGGCAACTGTGACACCTCGTTATGCCCCCGAGGTCATCTCAGGTCACGAACCGAATCTAACAGTTTTTCGCTAATAACTTCTCATAGAGGCGTGCTAGAGCGCTGAAAACGCCTTAGATGTGTTCGGCTCGACATTGCGGATCGACTGATATGCAAGATGACCTTTTCCGGTCAGGTCATGACCTTGACCTGAGGTCAAATTTTCAAGTTGACCTTTCAAGGTCAAATTATAGTTCATTCGACGCGTCTCGATGAGAGGAACACGATGCTGGCAAAAGTAATGTCATGGCTCTTTTTAGTCAAAAGTTATTGCCGAAAAAAATGTTTTTCGTAAAAACGGCTATTTTTGGAGTTGTTGCCCTCTGGAGGCTAAACAGTTGACCTGAGGTCAAATCTGAGAACATTACTCAGAAAGGTCTGTGAAAGGGCTATCGAATGCGCTTTTCCGCGGCGCTGTAGCTCTATCGGTTCCCGAGATAGCCGTTGGCAGTTTCCAAAATGTTGAAATAGTCAACATTTTACCTTTGGTGACCACTGGTGACCTGACCTTTGACCTGACCCAAAAAATAACCGAGTGTTTTCGTCCTTATTTTGGACGTTCTTTCGAATGCCGCTTACCGCGTGTCGCTACGTGGCCCAGGAGCCCGGCGCGGGTTAAGTTTTTTTTTTCAATACGCCCCGGCTGAAGGGGCGTTGGGGGTTGGAACAACCCCCTTTGCCGATTCGCCCCTAATTGAGCCGAGAGTTGCGGCATGGAGAAGGATTTGAATGTCCTGAGGAGTTCGGCACCGCGCCGTTTTCGTTTGGAATTTCCACGCCGAGGAATACGTCACGAAAACGGCCGTTCGGGCATGCCCGTTTCGCGGGACCCCGCAAGATTCCTCTCGTTTCGCGATGCCTGAATGGCTGTTGGCACGAAGGTTAAGGTCCGAACGCAGGCTAAGGTGCTGACAGGAATAATCTTTGCGATGCTCAAAAACAGGCAAACAGGTGTGGCAGTCAATGAGATTTAGTAGCATGGGACAGCCAGGCCCAGCACATAGTGTCTGCCTATGATGGTCTGTCGCCCGTTCATGCACGCACCTTCAACTATCATGTCTGTCTCTCCTTTACTCGAAATTTTAATGATCTGACCTCCTGAGTGGCAAGTCCTATGCAAAGTTTCACCATTGCAAAGGATGTAAAACACTCAGGTTGTCACATGTAAGCTTCCTCAATGTCCTTGCACAATGCACATCACTATTTCTATTTGGACACCGGCCAATACCATAATGCAACTGAAGGGAATCAACATTCAATCATACTGATACTAGGAGTAGTTTAGTTGTTACAAAATTATTGCAAAGTTAGGTCTCAAATATGTTTCTTCAAGTGTTCACTGTCCTGTCATACAAATAGCAAACACATGGCCAGAATCAACATTACAGCCTGCCTGACAAGTCAGACAAGCCTCTGCTGTGCCCACCTGATCGGATATTCTCCTTCAGAGCTGGAGCACAGCTTCTCTGCACCAGCTCCTGGCTAGGTGCAGCCTCCTGCTTCGTTGGAGCAGCCTCCCGCTTGGTGTTCTGAGAGGCCATTGCTGCATTGGCTTCATGATCAACCTCTGTAATTGGAATAAGCATATCATTCAACATTACTCACATTCTGAGACTTGGTACTATATCCAAGTGATCAGTAATTTGGCAAGTGTTTTGTGGAGTACAATTATGACGAGAAATGTTTTTCATGGAAAAACTTTTTACATTTGACAGGCAAATTCATTCTGTCACATTTCCTTCAACCTTATCCAGTGAAGTGTTATAACTGCTTCATGAAAGTCATAGTGTCATCCTTTCCAAGCATTTATATTAGAGCATTTTTTGCAAATGAATGATGAAATAAGTAAAACTCACCAAAGTAGGCTTCTGCATCTGAGTTTTCATATTCGTCAGCATTAAAATTGGTAAAATCAATGTACATTGGGGCATCGAAGTTTAGATCCAGATCCCCATCCATCGTGACGCGGCAAATTGAAATTGGGTCGAAGGCCGTCGTCGAAGAACCCAGAAGTTGAAGTCGAAGTTGTTGGCCTTGGTCCTTCCTGATCTATATTTGAAGAGGCTGAACACTCTTCTGGTCAGAGCTATAAAATAAATAAGAAAGACACAATACTCTCTAAACAACACCTTTATCCAACCCTCACGAACGACAAATTGAAACGGCGAAACGCTCCCAATAATGTCCGCCGCCCGACTTCGACAACGGCTTGGTCATCGGTTTCAAATCAAACGACGGAATCAGCTGATGAGCTGATCTTACCGACAAAATAAAGTGAGCTTTTACTGACGTCATAACTATATTTTTATCTTTCTTTAAAACATATAACTAGTTGAGAGCTAATAAGTCATCATGATCGAGTCATAAACAAAAAAAAAAACTGAAATGTAGATTTTAAAAATGGAAACAACAAAGGAGTAAAATTAATTTTTACACGTCATTTACAAAGAATGAAACTCAAAATCAAATCAGCCAATCAGAGGAAAGCATTCCACACTGTTGTTTTTCTTGTATTACTGTCCCTCATCTTTGGCACAAAAAGCAGCAGCTAAATTATAGATTAATAAAATTATTTTGTGGAAATTATAGATGTGGAAGATATCCTGGTATTCTTATAGCAGGCGTCTCACGCTATTTTGATTTGAGACTTACTGTTTATTGATGTACTGTGCACACCTGTGGTGGAACTATAGGAAGGCAACTATTAATCATTGAGCTATCACAACCGGTCCTTACTACAATTGTGACGCTGTTGATACAAATATGTAACTCTTATACGGCCTTGGCACGGATCACCTAACGGATCGGCAACTCTCCCCGCTTCCCATTGTTATCGGTGTACCCGTGGAGCGGGCTGCCATCTAGCGGCGCGGATATCTTCACTAAGGAGGGGAGCCGGCCGCCCGCCGCAACCAGTGTTAAAAGGCACGGGGAAACGGGTGTGAACGCAACACCCGTCCGTCGTTTCCATCCTCAGGATGTTCAGATCAAGTTCAAATCCTTCTTCTCCACGCAGCTACTCTCGATCCGGGCTGGACAGGCAACTTTATCTCATGCGGGCTGCTCCCTTGAAGCGCACCACTGCTCTCAAGGGAGCACACCCGGAGCCGGGTGCAGAGAGTGCTTGGGGGGGGGGGGGGCTGGTCGGCCTGTCCATTCGGACGGGCTCAGCCCCGGTGACTCTCTAGGGTGCCTGTCCAGACCAATGTTTCCCCTAATTCCTATAATCCTTCCAGCTGTGCAATGGTCTCAATGGACCGAAAGGGCCTAACCCAACAAAACAAAAACAAAGGTTGTGAACGGATTAAATTACAGAGTCTCTCTAACAGCTGGAATGTTACCATAGCATGAAAATGTTAACATACTCTATTCCCTAATCAGCTGGAGCATGCATAATGATCCAAATGTTTCTAGTTATGCTTCAGTTGTTTGAGCAAAAGAAACACGTCCTCGCAACTTTAACGTCGTTTTTGGCCGTGCACGAAGACCTTTCCTCATCCGTCTGCCCATAGTACGAGTTCATCCCCTGTTCCTATCTAGACGGTCACCGGCTACCAGTTGGAGTAGATAACATCGGAGCAAATCCAACGAGCTGGCCATTAACGTGACTATAGGTGGATCTCGGCCCCTGTTATACGATACGACTCTCCCCGCCGCTACAAGGTATCGAAACTTAGCCGGTTTCCATAAAGACGTTAGTAACATTGTGAAGTTTGCTTACGTTTCCATAGGAACGGAGGCACCCATACCTGATGATGTGAGGTACTGGGTAGCAGCGTGCCGCTAAACAGTGACTATAGCTTTGGCCCTGAGGCTGGTTTAGCCACGTGTTACATCTCAAGATATCTGTGGCTAAGAGCCAGGTCAGGTCATTTTGCACCCTATATGTATATTGCCTCATACTCAATACTCAATACTCTCTCTATCTCTATATATAATAATATATAATACTAATAATAAGTCAATAAGAAAAAAATGAAAGTCGTCTCATTTGGTCTGGGCGGGTCATTCTTAACACCCTCAAACATCGGGTTACATGTAAACAGTGACATGAAAACGGTCACCACTTCACCAGCAGATTTTTTACTATAACTTTTGATAGAGACGTGCTAGAGCGGTGAAAACACGTCAGATGTGTTCAGCTGCAGCATGCATGCAGCATGACCTTTTCCGGTCAGGTCATGACCTCGACCTGACGTAAAATTTTCAAAATGACCTTTCAAGGTCAATCTATAGTTCATTCGACGCGTCTCGACGAGAGGAACACGATGCTAGCAAAAGTAATGTCGTGGCTCGTTTGAGGCAAAAGTTATTACCGAAAAAACGTTTTTCGTAAATACGGCTATTTTTGGAGTTTTTGCCCTCTGGAGGCTAAACCGTTGACCTGAGGTCAAATCTAAAATAAAACTCAGAAAGACCTGTGAAAGAGCTATCGAATGCGCTTTTCCGCGGCGCTGTAGTTCTATTGGTTCCCAAGTTATGCGTCGGGTGTTTCGAAAGTTGTTGAAATAAACAAAATTTGCCTTTAATGACCTCTAGTGACCTGATCTTTGACCTGACCTAAAAATGACCTTAGTATTTCCGCCATTATTTTTTACGCTTTTTGGAATGTCGCTTACCCCGTGTGGCTACGTGGCCCAGAAGCCGAGTTTGGGGGGGGGGCGGTGGTTTCATACACCCTCGGCCCGGCGCGGTTGGTACCGTGTACCGGCCGGGCGTGGATTTATACTTTATGCAAGTATATTTGTGAAAGTTACAGGTTTAATTTAATCGTCAGATGAATATTTATCAAAAATATACTCATGAAATATATGTAAGAGATGACAACGATCGGAAAATTACCAATTTCGCGATGGGCGCTAGGTCGCCCACGTAGGTATGAAAACAACGATTTTCATGACAAAGGATACAATCTCAAATACTTAACCTGTCTTTAACGATTCTTGCCATTCTCATTTATACCATAGATATCTTCTGAGCTAGCTGAGAAACCACGTTCCGCAGAAAAATCTCTTAATTAGCTCCGACACGACGCCCTCAACACGCACGAGGCCGGCCGCGTCCTTAGTGAAGATAGTTCACCTAAATGCCCACCAGGTAGCAGGGGATACAGGTCAGTCCCACGCACAAGGGGGAAAAGCTCAAATTATTGAGCGCTCAAAATATTGAGCGTGTGACGTCAGAGGCTCCCATAGGCGTAATGCTGAGGGCTCAAAAAATTGAGCCGTTTCAGGAACACGTTTTGCAAAAGCAACTCGCAACACCTAGGGAGAAATGGCAACACCCTAGGAGAATCACTAATGATGCAAAACAGATTAGTCTTTCATATTTTTCACTGCTCAAGCTTCAATGATTGGGGGAACACCAATTTATAGGTCGAAATCTTACGGCATACCAGGATGACCTAAAAACAGGCCAATATTTATGTCGAAATAAAAGTTATTTTTTGTCCATTCACGTTTTTTACTAGGGTTCTGTTGGAAAGAGCATTTTTCATACTACCCAAAATGATTGCGACTCAATTTCACATTACCCATATCGGAGAATATTTTTCATTTGGCGGCGCCGTTTGTTTATTTCGTCGCGACGTCTCCGGTCGAGTGGTTGTCGTCGTCCTCGTGTTGAAGGTAAGTTTTTATCGTTTTAGTTATATTTAGATGTTAAAAGGTACACTGAAAAGTTTGAATATGCTGTGATTTTAAATTTGGAAACACGTAAACGTCAATCAATTCACGTTTTCCTCGATTTGCGTGCAGATAAGTAACTGTCGACGAAAGTGGCGCCATCCGATATGATGTTTTGAAGGAAGGAGACACAACATATTTACGTGAAAATTTTTGTTTTTTAGTGGTCTAAGTGCTTCAAAGAGGCTGTGAATGTTTTCTTCACACAATTTTTCATTAGGTATGATGAGGTAAAAGGTAGTTTCAGTCTTAACTTTCATATAATTGACATTAAAACATATGATAGTCCACTCCTATCAGTGATTGAGTACCTTGATATTTGGCATTTCTTATTAATTTGAATGTATTCTCTATCCATATGTCCTGATAGTAAGTGACAATACTCAGCCAATATGTTTCCATAGTTTTCACATTCATTTTCCAGTCCTTTACATAACATCAATTTATAATCAACAAAACTCAACTCCTTCGTTACTTCACAACACTGACAGCATGACAGACTGACAGTCAACTATTGTGTGTGTGAATGCTGAAACAGGATAGCCACTTTGCTGACTGGCTCATATGAAATAAGATAAAAATGATCCTTTATATCATTTTCATCTGGAGGATCGAAGTCAACGGAAAAGGAAGGCCACTTTTAAGCCTGAAGGTCTAGGCCGCCAGACGCCAGTCGGCAGTCACCACCAAATTTATAATATATTTATTCATTATTATACTTTGAGACCCTTAGGTCACTGGATCTGCATCACATTTTCAGTTTCAATATAGTAAAGGTTTTTTATTTGTATGATGTGAAATATTTTCCTGAATCAGAATTTAATTATCCCTAGGTACCTGGTACAGGTTTTGGATTTAATGCTCATTGTTGGTGTGCAGTCAGGATTTTTTGACAGGTCCAGATAGGGAATCCTGAGCAATTTTATAGTAAAGTGGTCTCCTTATAATCACCACGCATTTTATCAAAAGTTTTTGCAGAACTCATTCAATGAATAATTTTATCAATGTTGCACCCATTTCTTAGACGACCTAGGCTGCATCTTTTTTTAGTTCCTGTTGTATGACATATTTTCCATTTTGTTCCACTGCATAAAGAAAAAAATCGTTTGAGATCACCAAACAGCTTTTCTTTTTCTGGCAGGTCTGCACAACCAAGCGGTCGCTGGCGAGGACGTCGGCCGTCCTTGTGGGTAAGGTCATCTGCTCAGCCTTTGTGGAGATCAGCAAGACGTCACCAAGATGAAGACTTCGCTGGAGCAGAAGCCGCTGACCCGTGTCCGATCGGGCAGGTCATGCTCGACGGCACGAGCCACAACTTGAACGACTAGGTGACATCAACAACATGGTGGAGCAGGTGAATGAGTTTGGCGACGTGTTGTGCGACTGCAAGAAGGGTTGTCTGCGTGTTCTGGCCGGCGGAGCGGCGACGCTGCGCAGTCTGTGCTGGCGGTGAGCAGCAGGCTGGCCGTGGTGACCGCGCGCGCCCACATGCGCCGACAACCTGTGCGGCTTCGACGGCCCCGGGACAGCCCGATGCCGCCCACTATGCGACGCCGACCGCGCACTGTCCGCACGGCCACGTGGAGGTGTGCCCGCGCTTTTTGCCCGCACGCCGCTACCTCGCAGATGGTCTGCAACCACGCCGTCGCCGCCTGTAGCCCGGTAACAAAACGGCTGTCTGAAAATGCCGCGTGTTCTTTGTGATGTTGCTACTGTGATGGTTGCTACTGCTGGTCTGAGACTCGATGTTTCCATTCGTCCTTTACATGTTAAGGATTTGATAATGATTAGCTTAGTCCGAGCTTAGGTCGTTTATATCATTTGTTATATGGCATATTTTGGATCAGAGCAGTACGACACTGCCTCCTGCTTTTGTGATGTATGCTGGCAAGACGCAGGTTCCGGTCGCAGGTCACCCGGTTCCAATGTGGTCGGGCTGGCATGCGATAATGTGATGTTGTTTTGCTCGTCTCTGTGTTCCACACTTGATGATGTTTGTGAATCTAACCCACATTGTATAGTATTTTTGTTTGTTTGCGGCCGATAGCCTTGTAAGTTGTAACCGTGGCAATACAGTTTTTCCTGCTATAATTCTCCAATATTCAAGCGTGGGTGGATATCTTTTTGTATTCACGTATTCCCTTCTTCCAGTACAGTCAGAGAATATCAATACAGTATTCATACGGATTATTCAAGCCCTGTATAATTATTTGAGGTGTGCCGAATCCGAAAGGCGACCGATAAAACTACTAGCGGAAAATGTGACATGATGCCATGGGTTTGTGAAAAGTTTAGGTACCACGTAGCATTCAACTTACTGCATTTCTGTTTCAACTCAGTTTAACGTATTTCAACGACCATAACATCAAAAATGGCAGCCAGTACGGGCTTCACCTGTCACGGAGAACGCTCAAAAAATTGAGTGTAGATGCTGGCTGGCACTCAATTTTTTGAGCGCCAGCTGACTGTCGTCTGTCGTGGCGCTCAATTTATTGAGTATCGCGGTCCCGAACGACAAGTGGCGCTCAAAAAGTTGAGCGTCTTTAGGGCATTTTCTTTCCAAAAACACCGATATGAATTATCACGGCGAGTGTTCGAGAAGAAACCTTGTTGCTCTCTCTTGCCATTGATACCTTATTTGGATACGATATTTGCCGTAGTGTGACGCTAACGGCATTGTAAAATACCATCGTTTCGCCTATTCCTTCATAACGGGGCCCGCTCAATTTTTTGAGCGCTCAATTTTTTGAGCTTTTCCCCCTTGTGCGTGGGACTGAGGTCGCGGGGGGAGTTGCCGATCCGTTATGTGATCCGTGGCCTTGGTAACTGTAACAGCAAATATTTTAGGTTTAGGCACTGGGTTTAAGTTAGGTCAGGTTTGTTTGTTTTTTCTTTTAGTTGCGAGACATATGAGTATCATTTTTGGATTCAGGATGTCAATTAATGTAAAAATATGAAAAATGTATCAACAAAATCTGCTTAGGACAATATTGACATTTTGATTTACCCGCACAACCTTCATAAACGACTTATCAAATAAATTGTGTGCCCTTTCACACCCCAATTGTGCGCATTTGATGACCATTTCTTGGAATAATATAGGTGTCCCTTAACACCCCACATTGGGGTGCTAAGGGACAGCGATGAAAAATAATAAAAAAATGTGCAGGCATATATTTTTAAAACTCTAATGTGGCAGGCATATAAAGCACCAAATTCCACAAAGTGCTCACACTTTGATGAGTATCTCCAACCCTTCTTGAGTTATATAACAAAACACCTCAAAACTGTCCCTTAACACCCGTTTTACGGCACTACAACAATGAAAATTAGGGGTTTGAAGAGTTCATTTTACCATTTTACACAAATCCTACTTGTTTAGTACATGATTCATGATACAAAACTAACATACAGTGTGATTTTCCCAAAACAGCTTTTACGTGATAGACAGTGGCTCTGTCTTTTTCCCATTCATAAGGCCAAAGTGAAAATTTCTTAGTTTTGTGGTAACTTTCTTTGCCATTGCATACCTACCTCATTTTTCTACCTATTTAAAGAAAAATCTCACTGTCATGGGCTTTTTTCAACCAAAACAATACATTTGAAGTCGAAAGTGTACCCAACTGAATAAAAAATTGATGCAATGCCCATATTTGGTCATGGCTCTCCCACCAGAATCAAATTATTGATGCCTCCATATTTTGATTCCAGAAGTCTAGTCTGCCCAACTGATCTTCCAGATGTGTAAGATGCATACATTTTGGACCCGAGGCTGCGGCCAGATATTGACCCCAGGAATTGATTGCGACCCTTATTTTGGCGATTAGACGAACCCTTGAGGCACTTTTGACGTGCCCCTTCCTTTATGGGAGGATTAAGATGCACATCTGGACGCAGCAGGACGTCTACTAATTGCCTTACCTGACCTTACTCGACCAGCCTGGTCTAAATCCTTGTCTAAATCCATGAAGACATCATCAGTGGTCGAAACTAACATGAATTCGTGATCAGCACCCCCCCCCCCCCAAACATAATAGCTTCACTTTACGAGGTTCTAGCAGGTCCCAATTTTCCCAGCTTTTGGTCAGTGACCTGTCCTGGAAGGTCAACCAATGATATATGACCTTAAAATTGGGTATGATCAGCTTCCTCTCGTCACGGACAGCGCGCTTATCTTTTTCCCCGATGCTTTAATTCGATCTGGGACCGAACGGCAGGGAGGGGGGGGGGGGTCCAAACGCCCCCCCCCCCCCGCCCGGTACACGTTAGACGCTGGAAAACGCCACATACAGGCGAAGGTTAAATCATCAGCATCAATATCATCACCCCTATATTTGCAGTGTATCCAGTTTCCACACCACTGCGGGACCATGTCTCTGTACGACGACATCGACTCTGGTCAGAAGTCGGACCGCGTGCCCGGCTGGGGTAGCTCCAACATGAAGCTGCTGCAGTCGCAGCTGAAGCTGCGGAAGGCGGCCGTCAGCCAGCCGCGCCGCGACCTCAGCAGGCGAGGTAACGTACTGGCGCCCGTGATCGACCTCAAGGGCACGAGGCGCGAGGACGAGGACTCGCCGGCGGCGGCGGCGGCGGCCACGGCCGTGCTCACCATGCCCGGCGTGAGTGGACGGGACGCTGGGGGAGGGGAAAACGCCGGTGATAGGGGATGACGTTTCAGCTGTCGGGTTTATCATATGGCGAAAATAACGATGCTGATCGTTAAGTCGTGAAGAAATTTCAGCAAGTGTTTATTTTTTCCATCCAGTTTTTGAATTTTGACTATTTCCTTCTTGACGATGAGATAACTCCTGATAATTGTTTCTTTTTCAGCTGAACCAGAGAGGCTACCGGGGCCCGGCACAATTCATCTCGTTCGGGCCCGACCAAGACGCCAAAAACGAGTACGACCCTCTCAAACCAAACGACTACGAAAAGGTCGTTAAAGGTGAGTCCAGGACATACAACTCTTGTTGACAAATGCCAAAACACCTTAACAATCCACTTTGCACAAATGCCGATTCCTTCAACTCAACGTACATGTCAAATTCTAAATCTTGTTCAACTGAATACATGAAGCCTTGTGTTACGGATCAGGATCGAATAATAACTTTTTCAGTTGCTGTGTTACACAACCTGGTTTAATTACCCACATTTTTTTCGTAACCACTCTTGGTTTGTTTTTCCCCGCCCTTCCTGTGCACCGCTTTGTGCGTATCCGAGTGTAAATTCATAAACCCTTTCTAATCAGCGGCGCGCCGTAAAAAGGAGGAGGAGAAGGAACGAGAGCGTCGCGAGCGCGAGATGGCGGGTCCGGTGACGAGTCTGGTCAGCAGCTACAGCGACGACGAGGCAGAGACCGCCGCAGAAGAGGAGCGGAAGAGGAAGAGTGAGTGGCGGGGGGGGACGGGGAGAGGGACCGGAGCCTGCTGCGGACCGGGACGAGGCGAGGAAGGGCCGGTACCAGCAGGGTACCCCCAGATCATGTCAAGAATCGCAGCATGTCATCATGTGCGTCTTCTTGTCTTGTCAGAATATCATCTTGTCCGAATATCATGTCAATAAAAGTAAGTGGGTAAGATTTCTTTCTGTCTGATACTGAGTGAGAAACCCCATCTGCCCTGTATCTCGCTTGTTCAACGTTTTTCGGCACTCTACCTAGGCCACATTCAGCACATCCACCTGGTTAGGTATGACTGTGTGACACTCTCCGTCTCCACCCCTGACCGTCGCCGCCCCGGCAGGCGCGCTGGGAGCGGCCATCGCGCCGCCGTCGGCCCTCCAGGAGCGCTCCTCCTCCCCGCCATCGTTCGGTCTGGGCGCGCCACGGCCCAGCGGTTCCGGCGCAGGGGGCAGCATCGCCGCTCAGATCATGGCCAAATATGGGTACAAGGTGCGTACGTGTGCGGGAAGTTGGGAGCTAACTAGTGCACGCTGGATAGAACAAAGTGTGTTGTTTGAAATGTGTGTCACATCCTTGTGAAAAGCATGAATTTAATGGTTAACATTGAATGACCTAATATGTGGCACGTATATTTGGTCATGCCGGATGATGCATTGTGAGTTGTGACGTTTGAAGGGCAAAAAGTGCTTCCCGCTCATTTTGCGTTTATCACTATTCTGTTCTGCCTGCCAAACATATACATTATACAGGTTTGCCATCGCCCCTCCTGTCCCGTCTGTATCTGACCATTGCTCGTTCCGGCGGCCGGCAGGAGGGTCAGGGACTCGGTAAGGCCGGCCAGGGCATCTCCCGGGCGCTGGCTGTCGAGAAGACCTCCAAACGCGGTGGCCGCATCATCCATGAGCGCGAGCTATTGACGGCCGGCTCTCCCGGTCCGTCGGGCACCAACACCCCGCCCCAGGGCGGCGGCAGCGACCTGATGCCGCCGCCGCCGCCGCCGCCCCCGCCCGCGCAGCCCACCATGGCCGAGATACTGCGCAACCCCACCAAAATTGTGATGCTCCGGGTGAGTCATGGAGCCGGGGAAAGCGACGGGAGAGGTGTGGTCATTAAAGACACGATGCTATAAGGTTTGAGTTGCGATTCTTGCAATAGAACAATCGTTACATTTTGCGGTCACGTAAATGCGTGTTGGATGGTACGGATATCGCTCCCTGTTGTTTCAATTCAGCTATTTTTCCGGCTGTCTTCTCTGGCTATGTGAGGTATCCCTATCTCTGATTGACCTCTGACTCTCCGGACAGAACATGGTTGGTCCCGGGGAGGCTGGTTGATGAGCTGGAAGGCGAGCAGAAGTGTGCAGAAGTGTAGACCCTCTGTGTGTCGGCCCTCTGACTCCCCTCCCCTCCCCACAGAACATGGTGGGCGCCGGCGAGGTATCTGTAGCACGGCTCTGCCTGTCACTGACCCCCCCCCCCCCCCCCCCACAGAATATGGTGGGCGCCTGCGAAGTATCTGTAGCACGGCTCTCTGCCTGCCACTGACCCTCCCCCCTCCCGCCTCCCCAGAGAACATGGTGGGCGACGGACGAGGTATCTGTAGCACGGCTCTCTGCCTGCCACTGACCCTCCCCTCCCCCCCACAGAACGTGGTGGGCGCCGGCGAGGTATCTGTAGCACGGCTCTCTGCCTGTCACTGTGACCCTCCCCTCCCCCACAGAACATGGTGAGCGCCGGCGAGGTATCTGTAGCACGGCTCTCTGCCTGTCACTGACCCCCACAGAATATGGTGGGCGCCGGCGAGGTATCTGTAGCACGGCTCTCTGCCTGTCACTGACCCCCCCCCCCCCTCCCACAGAACATGGTGGGCGCCGGGGAAGTGGACGATGAGCTGGAGGGCGAGGTGAAGGAGGAATGCAGCACCAAGTACGGCGAGGTGGTCAAGGTCACCATCCTAGAAGTGTCCGGCGCCTCCGACAACGAGGCCGTCCGCATCTTCGTCGAGTTCAAGCGGATCGAAAACTCCATCAAAGGTGGGCACGGGTAGAGACTGGGGATGGGGCGGGGTCGGTGCCGAGGGGGAGAGTTGGCACACTGAAGAGTGGCGGGACATGATTTCCGACAGGACGCGATGTCACCGTTGTCACGAGAAGGGGAAGAAGTCATTTTTGTGGGTTTCTTGTCGCATTGTGCAACCTTACCTTATCTCAACCTTTTAATATCCTTTCGTTCTCGTCAGCATATCGTTCAATCGTTCCCACTTTGTTCACCTTCAACCCCTTTCTGTAAGTAATTTTGCTCCCTCCCCCGCCGCAGCGCTGGTCGACCTGAACGGCCGGTTCTTCGGCGGACGCCAGGTGAAGGCGCGATTCTACAAACAGGACCTGTATGACGACCTGGAGCTGAACGAGCATGTACCGTGACGCCGCGCAGTGTCAGCTGTGTCACCCCTGTGGGAGTGTCAGTGTCAGTGTCATCCCGGCGCGGTTCACATCATCACCCCCTGGCCGATCCCTGTCGGTTTGTGTAATGCTGCCGCCGCCCGGCGCGGCTGGGATCCGTCACGGAGCCGCGCGGTACATTGTTGTGTAATATTATGGACGACTCGCTGGTCTGCATTTGGGGGTTATTGAGGATGGTGATGAATTGATGCAGACGGGACCCGAGTGCGATTAGCACTGAACACAACATTCGACTTCAACTTGACACGATTGGCATTTTGCAAATTGTGTCATCGATTTGCAAAATTTGTATTTAGCCAATCGTGAGTTACTGATAAACATGGATACTTTCGCTATCCAGTAAACGTTCCTGAAATAACAGCGAAAAATTGCAAAGTGTATTTTACCGGCTTTTGTTGAGAAAAATTACCTAGTCGTCAACCATACACTACATTTTAACTAGCTAGTTTTAGTCGTCTAAAGTAAGCTACCTTTTTCTGTTACAAATGTTGTGCAATTGGCACAGTTTAAGAACAGCCAACACAAAAACAAATTTGTTGCTACGATAGAAAACATTACCGTAAGTTCAGTGTACCAGCAGATCTAGATCGTCAACAAATGCATACCTTTCACTCCAATATCAGATACAGCGAGAAAGCGAACACCTGTGGTTGAGCCTGAAGTAAGCACAGACCTCTGCAGCTAATAGCCCCAATACTTGGCAAGCAACACAAAACTCACATCAAGCTTATCTTCCGGAGAAGTTAATGACAACAATAACACAGGACAGTATGCAACAGCGCTGAAAGCTCATCACCAAATTTTAACAAGAACCTGTCCAAATAAACCCTGATTAAACATCTCGCACCGTGTTAGAGCGTGCACGTCAAACCAAGTTGCAGAGACAACGGGACAGAGCGATGGTCAAACTACTACGGGCGGTGCGGGACTGCGAACAACTGGCAAGTCACAAGCCTTTTGAGACAATCCAGAGGCGCCGCGGACGAGGGGCCCGCGGCGGAGCGAGGCCATCCGGGGTCAGGTCAGGCGGGGGCGGGGCGGCCGAGTGTGGAGCCGCTCAGCTACACACCGCCAGCAGGCCGAGACGGGGCCCGGCGCGCTGCCGGCCGTCCCCCCTGCACCACAGCGGTCCGCCCACGGCCGTGGTCAGGTTGGCCAGCTCCCAGGGCGGGAGCGAGGTGGTGACGGCCGTATGGACAAGGTCAGAGGAGGAGGAGGAGGGTGGTAGCGTGTCGGCAGCGTTGGTCAGGACCGGCAGTCGCCGCGGGGTCAGCACCGACAGCCGAGAATGGATCGAGTCGCCAGGATCGTCCGGATCGGACGCCGGGCTCCGCAGGTTCCTCCAGGTATCGTTCATCGTCTCCTCCAGCCATCTGTCGGTGGCGGTCGGCACTTCAGACTGCAGCTCCGGCCGCTGGGTGTCGTCCATGTCTTCGCCACTGAGCCTCTCGGTGACATTCGGTCGGTCGGCTGTACCATCACCAAGTCCTTCAGAATCTCCGGCGAGGGGGTTCAGGGCGGCCAGGATGAGCAGGCCGGAGGAGGCGGCGGCAGCACACAGCTGGTCCAGGAGAGCGGACGGCGGCGGCAGCGGGGACCCGGCGGGTGCGGCGGCGGCCGGCGGGCGGGCCACGAATACAGCCCGGTGGGGTACCGGCGCCGGCGGCGGGGCGTGGAACACCAGCAGTACGGAGCTCATCAGGGTCATCACCGAGGCCAGGTAGGCCACCGAGCAGACGGCCACCACCTGCCGGGACGGCGCACGGGCGGGGGTCAGGGCGGGCAGCAGACAGCGGTCCTATTTATGTCTTTAAAGCCACCTGGCCGCACGCACTGGAAATTTGTGACCTGACCAGAGATTTACAAAAACCGTTGAAAAATGACACATGAATATACGTAATCCCTATCATTTCGATATTTTCTTTTAAAAACAGAATCACTTCGTCGAAATCAACTGTGAACCGTTCGCAAAACAATCACGAGAGCTTCAACCCGTATCCCCTCAGCCCACCTGGAGCGGCTCCTACCTTGATCAGGGCGTCTTTGAGCAGCTGTACGGTGGCTGCCAGGTCGGCGGCGCTGCCGATCGACAGCAGGTCAGAGTAGGTGAGCCATCCGCCGCGCTGCGAGGACTCTGCCAGCGCGGCGCCCGCCTCCACACGGCCCAGCATCTCGGTGAACGTGTCCGGCGGCACGTACAGCTCCCAGCCCTGCGGCGGCGGCCGGCAGAACGCAAAGTCAGAAGTGCGCAGTGGAGATGGGCAACAACGGTTCGAGACAGGTAAGAAGCGGGAAGACGACGGACACCGGAGTGACAAATAATCTGCAACGCTCTGCATTCCAATTGATGCGAATGAATATGTAGGTATGGAAAATAATTTCAAGTGAACCCAATAAAATGATGAATGCATTACGGCCACCTATCCTCTGCCCGGCTGAGAAACTAGTCATCTGAAATTCCCCGCCGTCGGTCGAGGCTACTTACCATGGCGTTCAGGAAGTCGATCTCGGCTGCGTTGAGTTCGTCGACAGTCATCTCCGCGGAGGCGGCCCACTCATCATTGAACACCTGCTCCTGCTCACCGTCGTCGTACAGCATCTTACTGGCGGCCAGCTGTCGCGGGAGAGAGGGTAGTTACAAGTTAGAATCGGATATATCTTACTGAATAAATTTTACCGAATGCTATGACAGCAGTTAGCACTTGTGAATCGAAAATCGAACCGCTAGTAAGGACCCACGGGTAAAGCCCATTCTTCCAAATGCTATTGATGACTCACGACAGTGTAACACAAACAAGGCATTTAGGATGTGCGACGGGTGTGCATAGCTCACCGTGGATTTGACAAACAAGTGGTTGTGTTGGCTGTTGGGTGTGTATACTGTATAGTGTACAGTGTACACTGTATATAACAACTCACCGTGGACGTGACAAACAGGTGTTTGGGGTGTGTCCGCCTCAGGTAGTCGGGCCGCAGGTCGGCCAGCCGCTCCAGGTACACGAGCGCCATCACGACGGCCGCCGGCGAGATACAAGCCTGGTGCGTGATGCTCGTCACGTCCCGCATGGCCAGCGAGCGCAGCTGGCGGCCCGGCCGGCCCGAAAACTCGCGACTGGCCGCCGCTGCGGGGAGACGAGAGCGGTTACGTCAGCGCCGAGTCCGTTTTACTCAGCAGAGCGCAGCTGGGGGCCAAAACTCATGCTTTGTTGCTGTAGTGGGGATGGGAAGGGACTTTGAACAGTTTACACGCATTGAATTATATAATATGCATGCAGGTAGTTGAGGAAAATTAACTTGATTTAAATTATCACAAAGCAACAGTCAGTGGCACTCACCCATGAGGGGAAGGCTGCCAGCTTCATCAGTGGCACGTCCACCAAAGTAGAGACTGCGCTTGAGTCTCCTGGACAGAGCTCGGTGGCACAGAAATTCCTGCAAATACACCTAGGTGTCAACATGTGAAAATGGCAGAGTTGAAAAAGCACACTTTGAAACACTCATCCAAGCAAGTAAACATAGTCGGGTTACAGATCAATTGATGTGCTGCTGAATAATGCCTCTTTAGAACCAATCATCCTCATCATAAACATGCTGGTTGCCATAATGCCATGGCTGGCAGGTTGAAATGCTGACCATGTTTGATGGATGCCCAAAATATTGGCATACACTGGTTAAAGACTGGGTTTCAAGGAGTGGAGTCAGAGGTAGGGAATTTAAGCTAGGATCTGGGGAGCAGTCTGCCAGTTTTTCTACAATCATTGTTGGGGTGTGGGAGTGGGATAAGAGATGTGGGAGATGAAGGTTGAGGGGCCAGGGATACTGTTGTGAGATGGATGATTCTTCAAACTTCAAAGACAAATACTTTATGTACTGTTAAAAAATTGAGAACAACATTTCATCATTATCGTACAGGGCAGGTGAATATATCAAAATGTGAGACAAAAACGTCTAGTTTAATAGGTACCTACCCACTCCACATTTAGTTACTTGTAATCTAGACAATTTGCATAATACATTTAATTACAGCCAATATGCACCTTGAACATTGTGTAAGAATATCATCATGAAACAATCTGGTCAAGTGTTCCAACGACATCTCAATCCTCAATATTGATATTCACAAGCAAGGGGGAGAGCCTGCACTGCCCTGGGCCCTGCTTCACCGGTGATAGCAGCACGCTACTATCAAATTGTGCGAGCTGACGTAATGTGATGATGTCACACTAATGACATTTCGTGTAATCCTTAAGCTTTTTCATAGCTACGTTTGGAGGCAGAGTTGCTGTCTCGTTGAATGCGTTTGATACGTTTGCACGGCCGTGAAGATGTTAGCAGCAATATCTGATGACATCACACAGATTGACGACGGCATGGTTTGTTGATGTTTCCATGGAAACCCAATTTGACACGTGTAATAGCAGCATGCTGCTATCACCGGTGAAACAGGACCCTGAACATGAAGATTAGGTTGAAAAGTGAACCTAATTCAACCAACACCAATAAAAAATAAGCCCAGAACACAGTCTCCACATTCAAAAGATGTGCTAAAGCATGAGCATGATTTCATATTGAAATTGAGGTATTCATGAATCATACAACTCAGTAGCGGCGGAACACCTTCAATGAATTAAGGGGGGGGCACTGCCGACTTTTGGTCCCATTCTTTCCATGCAACGCCCATAGGGCTAATGTTAAAATGCCAAAATCAAAGGGGGGCACGGTGCCCTGGCGCCCTCCCCGTTCCGCCGCCTATGATACAACTCACAAGCACTTAGCCTGAGACTGGCCACTGGGTTCATCACCAGCCAAGCAATTGCATACACACTACACAGCTTACCTCTCGCCTTGAGGGCTTTGAAGCCCCAAGTGCCATTATTTATGTCTTCCTCTGTAGTATCTTCAATTCTAACGCGAAATTTTAACAGTAACTGATTAGCCCAAAAGCAGAAATATGCTAAAGTTATGCAACCTTCACGAGATTCCCAGTTCCCACACTGACACTACACATGCTACGCCCTTTTGTGCAAGAGAAGTGAAAGTTGTGTTCGAAGAATATCATGGTGATTTTATTTGTTAAAGGGACCCTCCCACCTTCAAAAAAGTTAATGAATTGGCATGAAAGTGATGTCGCTCGGTTCAGAAAGAGCAAAAACGAATATCTACCAAATTTCATCGAAAAATATTCACCGGTTTTCAAGATATTAGACTTTTACTTTTGTTTACTTTTTGGGATCTCCGCTGTTCCTAGCGACTTTATTTGAAAGTGCGGCATTTGTTGCGCGCAAAGCAGCATATACCACCGCGTGCTACAAAACGTTTTAGTCAAACATTTAACGGACGTTCGAAAGCCTGATGACGTAATCAGATTCCCGTAATGGTTAAGAGATAGGGACCACGCTGGTCCCACCCTGCAAGTAAAGGGAAGAAATTTCTTGAACATCATAAAGCTGCGGGGGTTGCGACCAGGATAAATGGTGGTTTCTGAGCCTGGCCGCAAACTTGGCTATCTCAACTCAAAACTAATGTTAAGGTGGGAGGGTCCCTTTAAAGTAAAATTTAACTTTTTCCTTTTTTTATACATAAAATATAAAAAAGAATAATTTATCACATTTGTGACGAAAATGCTTTGAAAACATTACAAAATAATAGTAAAATGAGAAAAAATACAGGAGAAACATGACGCCATATTAAAATCGCCTCTTCCAATTCGTTTGTCATCGTGCTGGCAGCTGAGAGCTTCTCATAAGAACAGACTCTATTGCTGCTCTATTGCGGCGAATGCGCAGCATGTGATGCAAGGCCCTATATGTGATGGATGTGATCTTATGATCTTGTGCTTTTATGAAATCGAATTCAAGATCGAATTATTGAATCTAATAAAAAAAAAACGAACCCTCGACCTCCGATTGCATTCAAATTTGGCACACCGCTAGCGACCATTTAGAAGGGTGCTTTGCACTAGCCCGTTGGAAGTACCTTCTCGCCCTTTTGCATGTGCAGTGCTCACTATCTCCTCATCGATCCTCGCGAGCAGGGATCGATCCGTTAGTTCTCTATATACCGTGACTGCGTTTCTGAATCAATCTTTGCTGTTGGCGGTCTTCATCAGTGTCCCAAAATGTGTGTTGATTGGGATGGAAAGTGACATCCAAATCAAAATGAAAATTATTGTGCACTCTTATCTCTAATTTTCTCGAGTAATTTTCCACTACCAATTTTACTGAGAAAAGCATTTGCATGGGTGATCATTTCACATCCTACATTTTGCCAAACTTGTATATAAATAACCAGTAAAACGCCTTTTGGGCGAAGAACGAGCGAGCGAGATAGTGAGCACTGCACATGCAAAAGGGCGAGAAGGTACTTCCAACGGGCTAGTGCAAAGCACCCTTCTAAATGGTCGCTAGCGGTGTGCCAAATTTGAATGCAATCGGCCCAGCCGTTCCTGAGATCTGGAAGCGGCATTCTGCACATGCGCACGTGCAAACGGGGTCCAAAATGACTTTTGCACGGCACCCTACTAACCGGTCCCCAACCGTGTACCAAATTTGAGCGCAATCGGCCCAGCCGTTCTCGAGATCTGGAAACACCCCCTGGTAGCACCCTAACCGCAACGCATGGGAATGCATTGCCTGGTGGATGCCTACCTATATGCCAAGTTTCAGCGAAATCGCCCCAGTAATTACAGAGTTACTGAAATGGGAACAAATTTGGCACCTCTTCTTTTTGTATTTTGCACGTGCAGTGGGGGTCACTCACATAGATCAAGAGTGTCCGACTTTTGGTAGAAGTGATGCAGCTGCCCTATAAAAATTACCGCAAGACAATCGCTCAAGCCGCTGCTGAGATATGGGCCTCTCAAAATCATTACTTTTGCAAAACTGCTTGAACTCCCTTAACTTTTCACGTGGCACGTGCCACGACGGTCACTGAGATGTATCAAAAGTAGTCAATTACGGGGTAGAAGGGATGGGGCTACCCAGCAAAAAAGACCGCAAGCCAATCGGTCCAGCGGTTGCTAAAATATAAGCTTCTCAAAAGCGTTACAGGCCGGGCCGGGCCGGGCCGCTCATACTGAGATTATTTCGTTATATTGAAAAGACTTCGCTTCGCTCGCTCGCTCGCTCGTAATAAATGTATGCCATTGGCCCTTTCCCACTCTTTTTGAGCCTTATCTAATAGGTAGAAATTTTGGTATTAGTAGAGCAGACGTCACACGAAGGTTTTCCAACCAAGGAGAGGCGCCATACCTGGAGTTGCTTCTTTCTAGGAAAACCTAAACAAACCTAACCTAACCTGACCTAACCTAACATACAACCTACCTGAACTCTAATATATACTGGAAGGAGCATTGGTGACTTGTTTTTGTCTATCGATTTCCGCCATGTTGTGTATACCAGAAATATAAATTGCATGTACGGTAGCAGAGGTGCAGTTTAGTGAGAGGTACAATACTCAAAAGTGCTGCTGCTTCATGCTTGCAGTTTGATTGCAGTGATCAACTTTTCAAGACTTTGGTATACACAACATGGCGGAAATCGTTAGACATTCTGGCCCATATACGGCCAAGGCGAGTGCCTCCCCCTGCCTACAACCTACAAACCTACCCTACAACCTACAAACCTACAGCGCATCTGCTCGGTTGGAAAACCTTCGTGTGACGTCTGCTCTACTAATGTCGAAATTTTCCTGGACATTAGGGCCAAGACAATTGACAAATATCTCAAGTCAAAGATTAACAGATTTATGTGGGTGTTATTTCGGTTTAAGACTGCTGGCGGTGTACCGTGATGGAGCAGCTGGCCTCGCAGCTAGCCGACAGCCGGCTGGCGAGCGGTGCCGAGCCCGACGAGCCGCTCCACACACCCCGACTGGCGCAGTACAAGAACGCCGGCCGGGCGTCCATCAGCCAGCAGTGCCGGCGCAGCCAGCTGCTGCAGCGCCAGAAACGCGAACGGGATGATCGCTTGGATCGTCTGCGGGCCATCACGGCGGACGATGACGAGGGGGCACTGGACGCTGCCGCACTGCCCCCCGCCTTCAGCTACAGAAAACAGGGCTTCTATCAGTCACAGTACTCGAACCAGCTGATGTTCTCCGAGTGGATGGAGACGGTGCCGGCTGACCTGCACACTGACTGGCTGCTCAAGATGTGTCCTCCGGGCAAACGGTGCCTGGTCGTGGCCAAGCGGCGGTGCACGCGCTCGTACAGCGCCGCCGGCGCGCTGCTGCGCACGTTCCCGTCTCGGCTGCCGGCCGGCTGGCGCGGCCCACTCGGCCAGCGGCCCACGGTGCTCGACTGTATCTGGGACCAGGCGGCCGGCACGTTCCACGTGCTCGACCTGCTCGCCTGGAACGGCCACCAGGTGTTCGAATGCGAGGCAGAGTTCCGCTTCACGTGGCTGCAGACGAAGCTGTCAGAGACGCCGGAGGTGGGGGTCGCCTCGCGCAGCAACCCGTACCGCTTCGTGGCGATCAGCCACACGGCGTGCGGGCCTGCCGAGCTGGCGGCCACCGCCACCGCCGCCGCCGACGGGGCGCTGTTCTTCCACCGCGCGGCGCACTACTGGCCAGGCGTGTCGCCGCTGGTGCTGTGGTTGAAGCCGTTCATGCTGCCGGAGACGCTGGGCGTGCCGCGCACGGCGGCAGAGCTGGGCGCGCCACCCGACTATGCTGGCCGCCAGCGCTACATCGACCGCTGGCAGGCCAGCCGCCACCGCAAACCCGAAGGCCGCACGCAGCAGGACCAGATGGAGTCCTGAATATGCTAGCATGGCATTGAGGCGAGGTTTTTGCTGTGTGTCTCTTCTCCGGACTCCAGTGCGACAGCCTCCAGCATCACTGTTGACACCGGCGGCCGCATGGCTGTGCCGGCTTCGGACGGCTTCGGTTAAGCAGAGTCTGCTAGGAGAGGTGACCTCCACGCGGCACACGGTCTTTCGTGTACACTGTCTGGCAATGCAGCTGCGAGAAGCTGTGCAATGTGCATTGCGACACAATATATCTCATGTGCAATCGAAAATGAAATAAAATTCACTCTTATCCGCCTTTTTTTAAGGTAAAATTCCCGTCTGACACCCAAGCCGAGCTACAATTTTGGGACACTGGTCTTCATTGGGAAAAGTTACTGTGAGCTCAAAATTTGATGAAATGACTGCTGCAGGATTAGGGTTTATTAGTGGACAGTGGTATTTTTTTAGCCCATTGTATTACACGTATTGTTACAATTCGTACCGAAATAACTCACTCTTAGCCACATAGCCAGACCGGTTCAGGTTCACCGCTCGGCTTCGTTTTTGAAGTTAGGAAGGTGTGACTGGTGATCGTCACTCTGCAATGATACCATTATCAAATGCTCACTGTGAACAGCTTACATGCAGTTTAGTAAAAATATGTGCATTTTAATTTGCATTACAACATGCATTCTGTGTGCACGAAAAATGTATCTGTTACTGTGTTTTTCGGGAACCTGCACTGTTTAAACATTTTGGACTTTTTCAGCTTGGAGTCCTCTCATGGAAGTTTTCTGACACCATTTGTTGGCCACCACAGACACTGCTCAAAGTCAAATAGCTCTGGACATTAGGTTAATTGTCAAATTTTGAAGGTTCTACTGAGTATCCAGGATCAAGATGGTTTACTACTTTACATCAAATGGTAATGTATTGTACAAGCAGTCAAGTTATCACATTTGTAGGATGGAGGCATGCATGCCTTATCCATGTCTTCCATTAGGCACTAATTGTGCTGTTCAACTTCTATAAACTTATTACAGCTCCATATGTACCTATGTATTTAGGGTGTAATTTTTTTTTTTAATTTATTTATACATGACATAAAGATCTGCCTGTATTGATCCCACATCTTCTCTTTCAGTAACTGATCCACCGATCACCCTGTTCATGGGCTTTGACAAATATGAAAGTAAGTGTTCAGTACCTATGGCTTGTGTCAACTCATTCAAATATACCATTGTGGCTTGAGTCAAAATAAATCATTCAAACATACCATTATTATGTTAGTCAATATTCCTTTTTGTTGTTTCATTTTATGAGCCTAGTCAAATCTCACACATGCAGAACCAATAGCTCATTGCCATTATTTAGAGTTTCACTTTTTACAGTAATGACCAGTGTTTTTCTGCCTCCTGTCAGCCTATCATATGTTCTGTACCATTTGATTCAGTGTACACTGCCACCTGTGATGCTGATTTCAGATGAGGAGCTCATCAGGTGGGGGTGGCCGGAAGATGTCTGGTTTCACGTGGACAAGGTCTCGTCGGCCCACGTGTACCTCAGACTGAAGCCGGTCAGTCTTGCAGCACTGTGCATTGCTACATGGTGTGCTTGTGCTCATTTATACCTCTGAGATGGAGCTTACGATGTTGTGACTAGCGATAAACGTAATCGGACATAAGTGATGTCTGGTGAGACAAGGTCGAATTTTGGACCGATAAATGGAGCAAAATATTCGTTATAGATGCGGGCGGTAAGTAACAGTAACGTAATTTGAGTATCGAATGAGTTACATATCTGGAACATATGAGCCGCCTTGACGGATTGATGCCTGTTCATTCTGATATCACAGTTCACACAAATGTCTATTCTGCCAACTAACTAGAGGCCCGTATAGAAGGACGTCCATTTGTGTATCAACAAAGTTTCTGTTTGCAGGGCCAGACCATCGAGACTCTCGCCAAGGAGACGATCGAGGACTGCGCCCAGCTGTGTAAGGCCAACAGCATCACTGGCAACAAGATGAACAACGTGGACGTCATCTACACCATGTGGTCCAACCTGAAGAAGACGCCGGGCATGGAGCCCGGCCAAGTCAGCTTCCACAAGGACAAGGAGGTGGGTATCAGCTGGGGGATATCGGACCGGCGCTGCCAGAAATAGAGCCGGTCGCCCTCAGGCGGAGTTGTCCGGATCGATTGCTGCTGGGATAGATGTGGGCGTGGCGCACGGCTCTGATGCAATGTCGGTCGTGGGCCGCTGGTAAGGCGGTCTGAGTGGTGAAATGATAGCATATCCCGCTTAACTCATAATTGAGTTGCCACCATATGGATGTTTACGGAGCGAGCGAAGCGAGCGTAGTCTTTCCTTAGATTAACGGAAATTTCTGAGTATGAGCGGCCGGCCGGCCGGCCGTGGTCACGCTTTTGCGAGGCTTATATCTCAGCAACCACTTGACCGATTTACACGCGGTAATTTTTGTAGGGTAGCTTCATTCCTTCTACCAAGTATTGGACTATTCCCGATGCATGTGGGTGACCCCTTATGCACGTGCCACGTGCATAACGAAGAGGTGTCAGTTTTGTTATTGTTGCAATATCTCGGTAACTACTTGGCCGATTGCGCTGAAAGTTGGCATGTAGGTAGGCACCCACTAGGCACTACATATACATGTGCCAGAGTTGGGGTGCTGCTGCACGTGCGCACGTGCAGGGGTCGTTTCCAGATCTCGGGAACGGCTTGACCGATTGCGCTCAAATTTGGTACACGGTTAGGGACCGGTTAGTAGGGTGCCGTGCACAAGTCAGTTGGGACCCATTTTGCACGTGCGCACGTGCAGGGTGCCGCTTCCAGATCTCGAGAACGGCTGGGCCGATTGTGCCCAAATTTGGCACATCGCTAGAGACCAGTTAGCAGGGTGCCGTGCACAAGTCAGTTGGAGGTACCCCCTCGCAATTTCGCACGTGCAAGGCCCACCCTCTCGCTCGCTCCGTTAGTCGCCCCAAAAGGCGTTATTACGGAGCGAGCGAAGCGAGCGGAGTCTCATACTGAATTAAGGGAAAATCCTGAGTATGAGCGGCCGGCCGGCCGTGGGGACGCTCTTCAAAAGCTAATATCTTAGGAACGGGACATCCGATTGACAAGCGGTCTTCTTTACTGAATGTCACTTGGACGTAAAAGTTCTGTGGTGTGATGGCCACCATGCGTTCTTGCCAACCACCGCACGTGGCGCGTGGTAAAGTTGGACATTTTTTAAGAACCCCCAAAATTGCAACCTCAATAACGGCACAACGGTTGGGCCGATTGAATTGAAACTCGGTACACAGTTAGGTCTCCATCAGATAATTCATCTGCATGTGTTAAGGTTGGGGTGCTGCTGCACGTGCGCACGTGCAGGGGTCGTTTCCAGATCTCGAGAACGGCTGGACCGATGGCGCTCAAATTTGGTACACGGTTAGGGACCAGTTAGTAGGGTGCCGTGCACAAGTCAGTTGGGACCCATTTTGCACGTGCGCACGTGCAGAGTGCCGCTTCCAGATCTCGAGAACGGCTGGGCCGATTGTGCTCAAATTTGGCACATCGCTAGAGACCGGTTAGTAGGGTGCCGTGCACAAGTCAGTTGGAGGTACCCCGTCGAAATTTCGCACGTGCAAGGCCCACCCTCTCGCTCGCTCCGTTAGTCGCCCCATAAGGCGTTATACTGGTACTGGTATTACGGAGCGAGCGAAGCGAGCGTAGTCTTTCCTTAGATTAACGGAAATTTCTGAGTATGAGCGGCCGGCCGGCCGGCCGGCCGGCCGTGGTCACGCTTTTGCGAGGCTTATATCTCAGCAACCACTTGACCGATTTACATGCGGTAATTTTTGTAGGGTAGCTTCATTCCTTCTACCAAGTCTATATTATGAATTATAAGATGTCCGTCCATGCGTCATGCCTTATGTGTCTTATTGCGCCTGAAAGGCGCCGCGTGGCGACGTGAAATTTGACATGCCAAATCTGTGGGCGTGGGCGGCCTTTGTATTAAAATTTGGGCGTGATCGGACCAGGGGTGCGCCGTCAGCACGCGCTCGCGTGCGCCATAGGGTTAACACAGGAGACGGTCAAACCGAGCATCGGACGAAAACCGGCCTGCGGCGCCCACTTCCCGGCTGTATAAGTCGGCAACGGGTGGGCGCAGCGAGAAGCGGTTTTCACCACTGGATAGAAGAGAGATGGAACTAGCGTATTGACATGGTTTCATAGTACAGCACGCGCCACGTGCAAGACAGCACCCCCGGTTGTGAAAAAATGACCGATTTCGTGCATTGTGACGGGAAAATCGATGCCGCTGGAAAACGGCTTGACGGAATGAAATCGGTTTTGTATCATTTTGCAGACAAATGTATGTGTAATCAGAGAATAGCAAACAAAAACTGATGATCCGTACCATTTCTTTAATAATGAAAAATTAATTTGAAAATTTGATTCGCGCGGAGCGCGGTGTCCTTTACAACATCAAAACGTATTTAAAACGCTAATCAATTGCTATGAAACCTACATATTCGGAAAGAGCATTCTTTTCTGACCAATATCCACCCAAAATATTATCGAAAAGTCAATAAACTTTCGTGAAAATGACTCAAACATACGACCGTGTTTTGTTAACGTTACAGGTATTTTTCGACAAAATCCGGCCGATGGCTTATGGCCGGCAGGTCATACAACTTTTGACAATAGCTATCAAAGCATGGGCTGCAATGCACCGCCCACAAAGGAGAATTCCAAACACTGAAAATAGCGCCTACCAGCAAACAGCACATTATTGTACTCGGAATAACTCAGCTACTAATGGGCCGATTGCGCTGAAACTTGGACTGTGGGTGGAGGGGGCACTCTCCTGGCGATGTATGGTCATTTGTGACAGGTAGGGTGCATCGATTGCACGTGCGCACGTGAGGGGTCCACTTTTACATGTCAAAAACGGTTGGGCAGATTTCGCTCAAATTTTGTTCACTGTTGGGGACAATTTAGAAAGGTGGCTGGCAGTCATCTGGAGTCTCAGTTGGCGCGTACGCACGTGCAGTGGGCCAGTTTTATATCTCAAGAACGGCTGAGCCGATTGCGCTCAATTTGGTATGTTACTTTAATCGAGTATGAGAAGGGTAACTATGTGTAGGTTATGAGTTAGATAGGGTATGGGTAGGTTAGGGTAGGGTAGGGTTGAGTTCGATAAAGACAAACCATGAGATGAGAAAGGCTCTAACAACCCGCAACCAGCACCAGCATACCAAGCCGTTCAAACAAATATCCAACTCCGACAAATTAAGACAAATAAAAATCACAAGTTCCCACACCCAAACTAATGCCCCCTCAAACGCATCTATCAAAACGCACAGTTATAGCGCAAAATATGCCATCTAGTCTATATTATGATTTATAAGATGTCCGTGAGTGCGTGCCTGCGTCTGTCAGGACTTATGTGTCTTATTGCGCCTGAAAGGCGCCGCGTATCGGCGTGAAATTTGGCATGCCGAATCTGTGGGCGTGGGCGGCCTTTGTATTAAAATTTGGGACGGATTAGCCCAGGGGTGCGCCGTCGGCACGTGCAAAAGGGTGCTCCCATAGGCTTAACACGTGGCCGGCGAAAATCGTGATCGGGCGAAAATCGGGCCTGCAGCGCTCCTTTCCCGGGCTTATAACTCGGCGATGGGAGGCTGCAGGGAGATGGGGTGGCCACCATTGGATAGAGGAGAGATGGGCCTATCGTATTGATATAGTTTCATAGCATAGCACGCGCCACGTGCAAGACAGCACCCCCAGTTGCGAAAAAAATGACCGATTTCATGCATTGTGGGAAGAAAACCGATGCCGCTGGAAAACGGCTTGACGGAATGAAGTCGGTACTGTATCATTTTGCAGACAAATGTACGTGTAATAATAGGAAAGCAAATAAAAAGTGACGATCCGTACCATTTCTTTAATAATGAAAAATTAATTTGAAAATTTGATTTGCACGGAGCGCGATGTCCTTTACAACACCAAAATGTATTGAAAACGATGATCAATCGTTATGAAACCTACATATTCGGAAAGAGCATTCTTTTCTGACCAATATCCACCCAAGATATTATCGAAAAGTCAATAAACTTTTGTGAAAATGACTCAAGCATGCGACCGTGTTTTGATAACGTTACGCGTATTTTCCCAAGATACCTATAAGAAACAGGTAGGTCCGATGTTTTGAGTAAAGCCCAGTAAAGCCCTGGTGACGTCACTGACATTTCTTATATGGAGAATTTCGCCCATAAGGAAAATATTTTACATACGGAAATTTATATTTCATTAGGAAAAAATACATTCTTTCAATTTCATCATGAAACTTATATAATTTAATTAAAAAACTTGAAATCCTTTGAGTGCTTGTCCCAACCCCTGCTATACCTTTGGTCACGTGACTTCCATGATAAACTTTGCGTTTTGCAATGTTATGACTTAAACAGAAGCAATAAATGTTACAGGCGTATTATTTATGATGTTTTAGGCAGCAATCGTGTAATAACATCCTTGAATTATATACATTCTGCTTAAAAGAGGTCACGTGATGTTACCAGATTGTGCTCGGACAGCATCTTCTTGAACTTCGATTTTGAGTACTTTTTACCTTCATTGAGTCCTAATAACGGACGTTTTTAGTTATAAAATGAAGCAATGAATCTATTGAGGGCAAAATTTAATCATTTTTGCACTTTCAAGCCGGGCTATCCTGGCATGAACTTCGGCCGGTTTGTGTGTGAAGCCTATGGTGAAGGGAAAACTTCACGCCCGGCTGACGTCACAGACCTCGGCTACCAAATCGTGTCCGGTGGGGGTCGTATTTTCCGACGAAATCGGATCGGTGGCTTCGGCAGACAGGCCCAGGCAGGCTATTGAACCTTTGACAACAAACGGTAGCGGAAGGCACCTCTCGCCAGGGGAATTCGCCAGTAAATAAAATAATTTTATTCTTGCAATAACTCAGCCGCTACCGGTCCGATTGTGATGAATTTTGGGACTGTCAACGGGCACATATCGAACGACACATTATCATATGTAGGGTGCTAAATGCTAATGCACGTGCACACCTGGAAAGGAGTAGTTTCCTATCTCAAGAACGGCTGGGCCAATTTCTCTCAAACTTGGTACACACTACAGAACCCGTAAAATCAATTAAATACCATACAGTTATCGCGCAAACATGGCCATCTAGTATTGGACTATTCCCGATGCATGTGGGTGACCCCTTATGCACGTGCCACGTGCAAAACGAAGAGGTGTCACTTTTGTAATTGTTGCAATATCTCGGTAACTACTGGGCCGATTGCGCTGAAAAATGGCATGTAGATAGGCACCCACTAGGCAATGCATATCAATGTGCCAGAGTTGGGGTGCTGCTGCACGTGCGCACGTGCAGGGGTCGATTCCAGATCTCGAGAACGGCTGGACCGATTGCGCTCAAATTTGGTACACGCTTACGGAGCAGTTAGTAGGGTGCCGTGCACAAGTCAGTTGGGGCCCATTTTGCACGTGCGCACGTGCAGGGTGCCGCTTCCATATCTCGAGAACGACTGGGCCGATTGTGCTCAAATTTGGCACATCGCTAGAGACCGGTTAGTAGGGGGCCGTGCACAAGTCAGTTGGAGGTACCCCCTCGCAACTTCGCACGTGCAAGGCCCACCCTCTCGCTTGCTCCGTTAGTCGCCCCAAAAGGCGTTATACTGGTTGTCATATAGTGGGTGTCGCTCCTTTTTCTGACTAAAGTCATTGAAAAATGTTGAAATTTCCCGTGGACGAACGCTGAATGCGTTATTCATCTTACTTGAATGGCGCATTTCGATATTACCATGCACTCAAGTAGCGCAATGGGTTTATCGTGTTCGATAAAAGTTGAATCATCGCTAATGCATCCTAGCTGTTACGTATCTGAATTTGACGCGTCAGCCACTGTACCTGAGTGTGGCATTTCCGGCAGGTGTACAAAATTCGCCTGGAGAAGCGGATAAACGAGATTGTGAACAGGCTGAACAAGACGAAGCGGGAGGATAAGCCCGACTTTCGGGCGCTGCGAGAGGAGCGGGACCGACAGGAGCGAGACAAGAAGAAGGCCGAGTTTAAGAAGCAGCAGGACCAGGAGAAGGTTCTGCAGAAACAGCGAGAGGAGGAGGCGAAACTCAGGTGGGTCACTCCATCACATGAGACGGTGTTGAGCGGGGTTACTTATATTATCTGGCGATATTTCCTACAGATTCATTACTTATGTACTATTTCATCAACGCTCTTACAGGAATCGGGTTATTTTTGGTGGAGGGGATTAGATCATGCTGCCTTCGAAGAATATTTTCGAGTAAATTTGTTTGCTGACATAGCCCTACACCGCCGCAGGAGCTACGACTCGCTGATGCAGTCGGAGAACATGACGTCCAACCAGGACGGCGGCAACGACTCTGACGACTTCATGTGATACTGCTCTCCGTCTCTGTGCACCGCCTCTGCGCCGAGTCCGTCTCAGTTGAGCGGCACGGCTGTGGCGGCCTCCCCTCTGGACTCAGAATGTGGTACTGCGCGGCAGTGAACGATCTGTGCTGAATCTGAGGACCTTGCACACAGTGGGAGGCGGTGAAATATTGGACAGCGGCGTTCGGACCGTGTGGCTTTCGATGTGGACCATGCAACAGCCGTGAGTGCGCACCGGGGCAGGGAATCGAGTCATGGATGAGAGTCGGGGTCGGGGTCAGGACTGTCAAACTTTAACGCCTCCCGTGCTGTGCAACCAGACTGGGTGGTCCCTCGTCTGTCATTCCCTGATATTCAAACTCAGTTGTTTGGCCTAAATCTCCTCTCTGCCCTGGGTTTCCCCCGGACGGCTCTACTGATCGCCGCCCCCCTCGGCTCCGTACTGGGCGGACAGAACTGCTGAGTATCGTTGTTTGTAACTGGTTGTGCCAGCCGGGTGTTGACGTTTTATAAACGGTCTATGTTCGTCGGCGTGTGTTGAATTAAATGGGCAGCTAGATGTTATTATAGTCAACATTTCTAAACTGTGCGGCGGAGCGGTCGTGTGATAGTTGCCAGGCTGGTGTGCGGGGTTCTGCCCGAGTCTGGGTGAAGACTTCCGGCGGAGGTTCTCGCAGCCGGATGCAGGTGGCAGCACCTGCCCGCCCCGGCGTCCACCGGCGCTCGCAGACACCCGTCCGCCTCTCCCCACCACTGAAACGCCATCATGAACCGCTGTCAGCATTAACATTTTATTGAACTCCTCCGCCGCCCGGGGCGAGCGGCTGTCGACAGATGCCCCGGCGGTAAATTACGAATCGGCCGGCGCGACATCAAATACCGCTCCCTCTGAGGCGACGGATGGCCGGCGGAAAAACAATCGGCCGGCCGGGGCGGATGGCAGGGACATTGGACGCGTGGCGGGCGGGAGCGACATTGGACGCGGCGCAAACGTCACTGGAATGACATAAATTAAAGGGAACACACAGCTAGACAGGAATGACTCGCGTAATCACGAGATGAAAATGAATATCCAGCACGCTAGAACAAGGCCAAGAACAAGACGATGAGGAGTGACTGGCTGTGAGAGGATGTGATGCCCCTGAGTCGATTGCTGCTCTCTGCAGATGCGTCCGACATTCGTCTCAGCCGCCCTGTCGACAAATTTAAAGTGTAAGACGTAAGTTTAAGACGGCCAACATTAGTTTAAATCAACATAAAGTGAGCGTCGAGATCGAAACAAGGACAAGCCGACGATTACTACGAATATGATCCCCGAGGCACTACCGATAATCACTGCCCCTAAGGCGGAGTGGGAGGACCCACCTGGTTGAGTTTGCGGTAGTCGGCCAGCTGGAACAGGACATGCTCCAGGATGTGTCGGGCGGTGCGACACTCCGGCTGCAGCCCCGCAGTGATGCCTGGAACGCCCCGAAATGGACAGATCACGACGGGCGATATCATCTGTTATCATTCACACATTATGTAACTTGCAATGTACGGCATTGCGACAAACGCTGGCAGCTACTGTGTGATGACAAGTGCTGTTTGCGACAGCAGCGCCGTCAAATGGGAGAGCCAGCGGCATTTTCAGAGCATCCCATCACATCAAGCGACGCGACTCGTATGAAAGGGACCACTTTACCGAATGTCCCATCTCATTTCCCGAGTGGCGTGACTTTGATGGCGGCAATACCATCCCGCCCTCTATGCTGTCGCCCGCCGGCGGCGAGCGGCGGGCTCATACGGTTCACTGCCCGAACGGGGCCCGGCCGGGCCGCTCCGGCCTGCACGGAGTGGATGGGTACCGCCGCCGGCAGCTGCCTCGGCTACCCAGAGACACTCAGCTCTCCATGGCCCGGTGCAGCCCGACACTTGTTCTCCCAGCCCAGCTCAGAGACACTTGGCTCTCTCCAGCCCCGTGCAGCTCGACACTGCTCTCAGCCCTCTCCCAGCCCTGCCCAGAGACACCAGTTCCCCTAGCCCCGTATGTAGAGCTGACCGACAGCCCTCTTCTAGTCCGGCCCAGCCCCGGGGCTGAGCTATACGGGCACGACCCGTCGAACGTGGCCACTGGCCAATGATGCCACAGACGGGGATCGATGATTGCATGATGGCCGGGGAAGTGGGCCGCGCCACTGGAGAAATGGCGGCCGGCGCAGTTTTAAACCACCGATTGGTATCAGAGCTTGACCGAAACAGGCCTGACTCCGTGCATGCTGGAATAGCTTGACCAGCAACAGCCTCGATTCTTGAGGCTTCGCATTAATCTACTCGTAAAATTTCGAACCATCCAGACCAACACCTTTTCAGATGAGTGACGGCATTATATAAGAACATTGTGCAACATGCATCACGTACTACACTCGTCCTACACTCCGCATTGTTCAATCACTCGGCATTCCGCGATCTACCACGGCCAGAGAACGATCTGCGCTTCTTGCGATACAACACATTCCAACGAAAGACCAATTCGAGCAGGCTAACCCCACCTCCCGCGAACCCCTCCCCCGCTCTTCTTACCGAGTATTTCGCCGCACTCGTTGACGAAGAACTCTAGGTCTGTGTCGGTGCACTTGTTGGTGACCTGCGCCAACCGGGCCTTATCACTGCTGAACGCCTCGTCCAGATCGTAGAGCTCCAGCGGCGGGTTGTCCAGCTCGCGGAACGCCGGAGGGAAAATCTGGCGCAACAACGAATATACGGCAGTGATGACACGAGAATGTAGTTGTGACGTCTCCGGTCTCACCGAAACACGGCGTTGATGTTACGAGATGCCAACTAAGCCCACAAATGATCGATGTATGTACAGAAAATGCCGATTTTTTGCTTCTTATTATTTTTTTTTTTTTTAATAGGAAGTCCTGGATAAAGCATCGAAGAAAAACGTAAATTTCACAAAAAAAGCTCGAAAAGCGCAAGTGTCCAGTAACTAACCGCCATATAACCTTATGCAGTACTTAATGAGTAAGCCCTAATGACGATCCTTCAAATCACGGCATTATTCCACATCTCTGAATCCCGCTAGCTATGCACTCCTAGTTCCACGAAAACGAAAACGAAAGTCCACCCTCACGCAGACACTTTTACTGACCGCCGGCTGCAGGGGCGGCATGGGCGTCTCGAACTGCGGCGTGATGAGGCGCAGCATCTCGTGCTTCACGTTCAGCTGGTTGTAGATGTCCAGCGCCTTAGGAAGAGGAGCGGACAGAGTCAGCGGAGGTCAGTGTCGGATGGAGGACGGTGGTAGTGGGCTTCGACAAATCACGTGTGAATGTCGCAGAAAAGCAGAACAGGGTATGTACCATGTACTTTAAACATTAAATGCACATGGATAAACGGTGCATAACATTGCAAGACATTATGGTTGTGGAGGGATAAGAGCTGAACTCACCACTCAGACTCATTACACCTGACATGATTACACTGATAGGTTGAAGCTGCTACGGTTATCGGGTTTCGAGTTTCGTTCGCCTTCCGGCGTTAGCTGATGACCAGGAAGCACCGCAGTAGGATCTGACTTCCAAGGAAGGAGTCGGGGTAAAAACTGACCCAAACAACATGCATTACCGGCAGAAACCAGCACTCTCGCCGTACCAAACCCCAGCTCTGTGCGTAATGAGATACATCATTAGAGCGGGTGATTTTGTTTCTTAGGTCAGGTAAGTATAAAAGTCCACATTGGTAGCACTACCAGAGGCACGACAGCACCGTTGTGGCCAAGCTCTTTTGGCAAGTAAATTGTAAATTGTAATTGCGTAATGAGATACATCATTAGGGCGGGTGATTTTGTTTCTTAGGTCAGGTAAGTATAAAGTCCACATTGGTAGCACTACCAGAGGCACGACAGCACCGTTGTGGCCAAGCTCTTTTGGCAAGTAAATTGTAAAGCCTGTAACGTAAATTTGCAAGCAATTCACAGACTGTTTTTCTCGGATAGAAACCAAGCGGTTCCGCGCAGTCTCTCGTCTCTCTCTCTCTCTCTCTCTCTCTCTCTCTCTCTCTCTCTCTCTCTCTCTCTCTCTCTCTCTCTCTCTCTCTCTCTCTCCCCCTCTCTCTCTCGCTCTCTACTTCTCCTTCCCTCCCTCTCCCATGCTTCCCTCCCCAGTAGCTCCGGAGCTGTCGGGCGCTGCTGTCAGCAGTCTGACACGCTCGCTGCCGCGGGGAGCCGGACTCCGCCGTCACACGGAGAACGCTGACCGGGCGGAAACGCGCCCCCGGAGAGAACAGGGGGAGTGAGGTGCGGGGCGGCGGGGACGGAAATGGAGAGGAGCGCAAATGTCTGAGTTTTACAGGTGCATAAGGCAGTGCTCGCTTGTGAATTTTTATGTTGTAGAGATGTAGACTAAACATAGCGACATAATCTGAAAGAAAATGGGGTGAATGAACTAGGAAAAAGGAATATGAGCTCCAAAAAGAAGTGTCCAGTGCTGCAATACAAAGTTGTGTGCCTACACTCTTTCCGGTCAACACCAAAAATCAAGCTACGATGCAGTCTCAGAAACCATCACATTTTCCTTTGCAGTCTGCACAACTCGAACTTTGATACACAACAGCTTTCATATGAGCTTGCAGCAGTGCATCGAAAGGGCGTATTCGCCGTGCAGTGTTCGTTCCCGATTCAGTCAGTGCCGCTATGTTCTCTATGACATTCTATGCTTCGTTATCCCTGCAACAGTTCCCTATTCACGGGTTAACAATCAATTGGGAATATCCCCTGAATACAAAGACAGGTCTGGTAAATGAACCCACTTCACCACTATCGTAATTGCTCAAAGCGGACCCGGCCACTGTTTCGGCCACAGGTCATAACCTTTAGTTCATAGCCAATCGCCATCGTTGGTATGGGAGCGCTCTCTGTGGACGGCCAGAAATGATGAGCTCACCGGCGCAATATCATAAAACTGGCAGTGAAGCCCATTGGTTAGGATAGGTCGGCGCTGTCGTTCGTTCCAATTACAATGCGGCGGCGATATTGGGGCTCGTTTTGTTATATAACCACGTGTTACTGTTATACGTGCGCAAAAGTCCAGAATCTTAGGTCAGGTTGCATGCTACGTAGCAACGATTCTGCCTATCTATGCGCATTGGGTCTTAGTTCAAGGCATTTATAAGACTAAATTACAGCAGCATTTCCAATGTCACAACATCATCCCAAAGCATTCTCCAACTACCCCACTTCAGTTGTCGTAGCACCGTCCTCCAACCATGTCGCAACTTCTCTGATCCCTCCCTCCCGAACCTCCCTCGCCCAACCAACCTGCGGCACCAGCCGTGTGTTGACCCTCCCTCCCTCCTTCCACACATTCGGTACGGACCTGCGGCACCAGCCAGGTGTTGACCCTCTCTCCCTCCCTACCTCCCTCCACACATTCGGTACGGACCTGCGGCACCAGCCGTGTGTTGACCCTCCCTCCCTCCTTCCACACATTCGGTACGGACCTGCGGCACCAGCCAGGTGTTGACCCTCTCTCCCTCCCTACCTCC